TTGCCCCAATTCTGTCGTTCGTGGGGTTCAGAATGCTCTTTGATTGTAGGTGAACTATAAATCCCAGAATCTGAAACTCGCAAATGTCAAGGTCTATTTCTCCCAAACTCCATCTGTGTGCATATATTGGGGCATATTGAGTATTTGTGCCAAGTTTGGTCCAGATCCATCATTGTTTGAGTCCACAGTGCTTTCTGGATGTAGGTGAACTACAACTCCCAAACGCAAGGTCAATGCCCACCAAACCCTTCTAGTGTTTTCTATTGGTCGTGGGAGTTCCATGTGCCAAGTTTGGTTCAATTCCATCATTGGTGGAGTTCAGAATGCTCTTTGATTGTAGGTGAACTATGAATTCCAGCAACTACAACTCTCAAATGACAAAAATAAAAAAAAATTGAGTGAAGGACATACATTGGGTTGTTAGGTCTATGCTGTCCAAACTTGATGTCAATTCATCCAGTAGTTTTTGAGTTATGTTAATCCCACAAACGAACATTGCATTTTTATTTATATAGATGATTATTATTATTTGGGATCTGGAAAAGCCTTATATTGATTCATGGGAAAGAGTTGCCTCAGTTGAGTCAACATTGGAATTCCATGGCAGTCTTGCTTTCAAGTGTTCTTAGTTTCATGTACCAAGTTTTTGCCAAGCTCCTGATTTGTGTATTGGATTTTTCATGTTTCATGGATTGTTGTTTCAATTGATCTTACTTTGCCTTGAAGCTCATGGACAATCCTTTGTGTTGGGATCTTTGCTGTTTTTGCTACACATTTTCTTCAATAAACTGCTTGCTGATTTTACCAAGCTGTTGTGGTGCTTAAGGTCAGAGGAGTTCCTGCTCTGGTGTACGACAGTTAACTGGTTGAATGTTTGTACTGTCCATAATCCCTTACCAGGCTAAGCCTCAAAGGGCCAAAAGCACCTGGAAGGCCACGGATACACACAATCATGTAGTAAGTTTCCCAGAAATGAGACATATAAGAGACGTTCATTGTTTATTTCATACGACTTAACCAGTATTTTTTTTAAAAAAAGAAGAAATTAAGCCAACTTTTAGCATCGACACCTAATGACATTAAATCCTCCACAAAACCCAAGACACCGGTGTCGCCTGTGGCAACAGAAATCGATCATGAGAAGGCAAAGTGTATTTCAACCTGTTTTGACGTTCCTTCCCCGCCGAACACAAAAACCCGAGTAGTGTTTGACTTTGCGAAAACAAGCAAAACGAAGAGCAGACGGAATGAAACATACAAGTGACGGGAGAAGGTTCCAGGGCTGTGGTGACGAATGAGACGTTTGCACAATGCAAGGAAAGAAAAGGCCATTTTAAGTCTGCATAGTTCTTCTTTCCATTGTGGAGTTTTACACTTGAGCAATAAGGTCAGTTTCCTTGTCATTTCAAGTTATGCATTTCGGATCCAATTTCCATAAAGGGGGGAAAAGCCAACAACCCTGTTTCCCCAAAAATAAGACCTCCCCTGAAAATAAGACCTAATAGAGGTTTAAGCTGAATTCCTAAACATAAGGCCTCCCCTGAAAGTAAGACCTAGTAGAGGTTTCTGCTGAATTGCTAAATATAAGGCCTCCCTTGAAAGTAAGACCTAGTAGGGGTTTCTGCTGAATTGCTAAATATAAGTCCTCCCCTGAAAGTAAGCCCTAGTAGAGGTTTCTGCTGAATTCCTAAATATAAGTCCTCCCCTGAAAATAAGCCCTAGTAGGCATTTCTGCTGGATTCCTAAATATAAGGCCTCCCCTGAAAATAAGACCTAGTAGAGGTTTCTGCTGAATTCCTAAATATAAGTCCTCCCCTGAAAATAAGCCCTAGTAGGCGTTTCTGCTGGATTCCTAAATATAAGGCCTCCCCTGAAAATAAGACCTAGTAGAAGTTTCTGCTGAATTGCTAAATATAAGCCCCCCCTGAAAATAAGCCCTAGTAGAGGTTTCTGCTGAATTCCTAAATAGGCCTCCCCAGAAAGTAAGACCTAGTAGAGGTTTCTGATGAATTGCTAAATATAAGTCCTCCCCTGAAAATAAGACCTAATAGAGGTTTCTGCTGGATTCCTAAATATGAGTCCTCCCCTGAAAGTAAGACCTAGTAGAGGTTTCTGCTGAATTGCTAAATATAAGTCCTCCCTTGAAAATAAGACCTAATAAAGGTTTCTGCTGAATTCCTAAATATAAGGCCTCCCCTAAAAGTAAGACCTAGCAATTTTTTTTGTTTGAAAGCATGCTCTCCCAGTGGCTAGAAGATGCAATACCGTCCCTGCTGTCCAAGTGGTCCAGGATCCGCTCTGGGAGGTTGTGACAGTCTCCACACAGTGCGTGGAAGCCCTTATTTTTTGTGGCCCTATGTGTGAGGGACAATATATTAATTACATACTGACAACTACTGTACAGTATATCACAAATGTTCGTTTATTTTTTGTTTAACAACAAATGTGGATTCTTTTTCATGGAAAAACAAGGCATTCCCTGAAAATAAGACCTAGCGCATCTTTGGGAGCAAAAATTAATATAAGACACTGCCTTATTTTTGGGGAAACAGGGTATATGTGTAATTGTGAAACGGAAGAGCAAAAGATGGTGAAAAGAGTGGAAATTCATGAGTTGAGAGAGCTCTAGGACTTCAATCTATACCCTGAAGAAGTAGTGCAAATTCCTTAGTAGACTATTTACTGTATTAATGTGCTCCAACCTTTCTGGTAAGGAAAATATACTATGTCTAAAATACCCCCTCCTCCTCCTCCTCCTCCTCCGACGTCCTCTACAACTAAGAAATCTATAGTTCTTTATGGACTTGAAACGTTAGAACTCCCGATATTTACACTTTACAAAGACGAATTCATACACTCCCAGCGCAATGTACAGATTGATCCTATCGTATCCTCCCCGCTCGCAAAACGTACACGGACAATAATTTACAACACCCTCAAAGAGCCCGTTTGCTTAAGAAGGTCACGCTAGCGACACACAAGTCCTTCATACATCCTATGTTCTTAAGCGTGTTCCGAACTGACCAAATAACCAGTTAAAAACTTCGTATCCTAAGCAAAATATTAATTAAAATACCGAGTTTAACAAGATTTGTGCAGATTTTACAAGTGCTTCTTACCATAATTAAAACAAAAAAAGATTCCCAGAAAGGAACAAATTATAAAACTAGACACGAAAGACGGAGACGAAGACAGCAAAGCAAAAGAGCTGCAAAACTTCCAAATCTCTTCAGTGCAGACAGATTTTGAGTTTATTTCAGGCCTGGGCAAACTTTCAAACTTGGGGGCCGCATGCTAGCACTCCCTGCGAGGAAGACGGGGTGCCCGGTGATGGAAGGAAGGAAGGAAAGGAAGGAAGAAGGAAAGAGAGAAGGAAAGAAGGATGCAAGGGCAGAAGGAGAAAGAGGGAGAGCAAGAAGGAGGAAAGACAAAAGAGAAAGAAGAATGGATGAAAGGGAGGAAGGGAAGGGTGGAAGGAAGGAGAAAGAGGGAGGGAAGAGGGAAGGAAGGGAGGGAGGGAGGGAGGGAGGAGAAAGAGGAAACTAAAGAGGAAGGAAAGAGAGAAGGAAGGAAAAAGAAAAGCGTGGGAAGGAGGCAAGGACAAAAGGGTGGAAGGGAAAGGGATGGATGGAAGGGAAAAGGAAAGAAAGATAAAAGGAGGGAAATGGAGGGAGAAAGAGGAAGGAAAGAGAGAAGGAAGGCTGAAAGGAGAGAGAAAGGGGGGAAGGAAGACAGGATGGAAGGAAATGAAGGGGGAGAAAAAGGGAGGGAAGAGAGAAGGAAAGAGGAAGGCAGAAGAGAGAGAGAGAGAGAGAGGAAGGAGGGATGAAAGAGGGAAGGAAGAAAGGATGAAAGGATGGAAGGAAATGGAGGGAGGGAGAAAAAGGGAGGAAAGAGAGAAGAAAAGACAGGAAGGAAGGAGAAACGGTGAGGAAGGAGGGGGGGAGGGAAGAAAGGGTGGAAGGTAATGAAGGGAGGATGAAAGAGAGAGGAAAGAGAGAAGGAAAGACAGGAAGGAAGGAAGGAAGGAAGGAAGGAAGGAAGGAAGGAAGGAGAGAGCGAGATAGAGGAAGGAGAGATGAAAGAGGAAAGGAAGAAAGGATGAAAGAGTGGAAGGAAATGGAGGGAGGGAGAAAAAGGGAGGAAAGAGAGAAGAAAAGACGGAAGGAAGGAAGGAGAGAGTGGAAGGAGGGAGGGAGGAAAGAGGGAGGGAAGAAAGGGTGGAAGGAAATGGAGGGAGGGTGAAAGAGGGAGGAAAGAGAGTAGGAAAGACAGGAAGGAAGGAAGGAAGGAAGGAAGGAAGGAAGGAGAGAGAGAGAGGAAGGGAGGGAGGAAAGAGGGAGGAAGGAGGATAGAAAGGAAGGATGAAATAGTGTAAGGGAAGGAAGGAGGGAGAGAGAAAGAGGAAAGTAAGGAAGGATAGGAAGGAGGAATGAAAGGGAAGGAAGGAAGGAAGGAAGGAAGGATAGGATGGCGAGAGAGAGGAGGGCCTGAGAAGAGCCCAAAGGGCCACATCCTGCCCCCTGTCCTGGGTTTGCCCAGACCTGGTCTATTTGATAAAACACTGATCCATGAAGGGAACATTATTTACACGCTCGCACGCACGCACCCGAACAAACAAACAAACCAACAAATATATTCCAGAATAAAATATTACTATTGACTTTGAGAAGATAAGGCTGATGCTCTGAATAGGCACAAACGTCTAGTGACATTAAGTCGTGATAGCTTTTTTGGGGCCACCACCACTGCAATGACTTTTATTGGATCGGTAGGAACTTATAGAAATTGCAATGTACACCTGTGCTCTCCAAAGGCTTGCCATTTGGCACTGATGGCACTTTGCTCAATATAGAGATAGACGCATTTTAAGTCTGAGCAAGAGAGAGCAAGCATGGGCCAATTTGGGCCCTCTTTTCTCGTGTTTTGGACTTCAACTCCCACAATTCCTGGCCTCAGGCCCTTTCCTCCCCCCCCCCCCCTCAGCTGCTTAAGCATGATAGAGCTAAAAGATGCCTACCTTCATACCCCAAGTGATAGACCTAAAAGATGCCTACCTTCATATCCCAACAAATAGATATGTTGGGATATGAAGGTAGGCATCTTTTAGGTCTATCACTCTATCATCTAGCTTAAGCAGCTGAGGGGGAAAAGGAAGGGGCCTGAGGCCAGGAATTGTGGGAGTTGAAGTCCAAAACACGAGAAAAGAGGGCCCAAATTGGCCCGTACCTGCTGTAAAGGAAAACGAGTTCCAAAAAAAGCTTATGGCTGTTACTGAAAGCATTACACAAATATGTTTGGAGGCTGCAGGAGGAGAAAAACAACACCCCTTTTAAAACACTATAGTCGACGAAGATGTCTGCAGGCAAACGGTTCTGAAAGGCACATAAATCAACTTTAAAAAGCCCACTTGTATTCGCCCCCCCCTCTCTCGAAGGACGAGGCGGGAGCTCTAGGTAAGGCATCCGATCTGTTTCCCTCCCGTCCGCAACGTCCGATTCAGCACCACCGAAAGGGATGACAGCGTTCCAAAGGAAGCGTCCTTCAAAAGTGCGTCTGCACGTGTGACATCATCTGTGAGGAAGACGAGGAGGAGGAAGAGGAATTGGACAGTCTGGGGTTGTTGGTGATCTGCAGCTCTTCCAGCCGGCGCATGTAGTCGTCGCGCAAAGCCAGGAGCTCCAGGTAGCGCTGCTCCACCGGGTTCGGCTGCTGGGGAGAAGCGGAAACATGTGGAAACGTCGTCATTTCAGGCATATAGTGGAGATTCCACACAACATCAACGTCAACAGAGGCCTCTCAATCCCGATACAGTACTCAGACATCTATTTTGGGAACTCTTCCTCACACAAAGAAATCCTAGTCATCTAGAATTCATTTACCAATAGCCAGACAATCAGAGACTGAGAACAACAACCTTCATGAACCCTTTACACCTACTAAATTGGACATGGCTCTCAATAAATATAAGAATGGCAAAGCAGCTGGCCTGGATGATCTACGGATGGAACAAATAAAGAACTTTGGCCCAAAAGCAAGGCGCTGGCTGCTGGAGCTGATGAACAACTTCACTGCATCCTGTCAGATCCCCAAAATTTGGAGGAAAGCAAGAGTCATCGCCATCTTGAAGCCAGGCAAAGACCGTAATGACCCAAAAAGCTACAGACCAATCTCCCTGTTGTGCCACCTCTACAAAGTTCTGGAGAGACTTATTTTGCATAGAATTATGGAACAAATAGAACCCTGTCTGATTCCACAACAAGCTGGCTTCAGGAAAGGCAGAAGCTGCACATCGCAAGTGCTGAACCTGACTCAGCACATCGAAGATGGCTTTGAAAGGCAGCAGATCACAGGAGCTGTCTTCATAGACCTGTCAGCGGCTTATGATACTGCGAACCACTGCTGCCTCCTCCTGAGAAAAATGTATAATATCACAAAGGACGACCACCTCACCCGCCTCATAGGAAACCTGCTAAAAAAACAGGAGCTTTTTTGTTGAGTTCCAGGGCCAGAGAAGCAGATGGCGGAAACAGAAGAACGGCCTGCCTCAGGGAAGCGTGCTTGCTCCATCCATGTTCAATATCTACACAAATGACCAGCCACTGCCAGAAGGGACAGAGAGCTTCATCTATGCTGATGATCGTGCCATCACCGCTCAAGCAGGGAGCTTTGAGATGGTTAAACAGAAGCTCTCCGAAGCTCTAGGTGCTCTTACTGCCTACTACAGGGAAAACCAGCTGATCCCTAATCCATCTAAAACACAGACATGTGCCTTTCACCTTAAGAACAGACAAGCATCCCGAGCTCTGAGGATTATTACCTGGGAAGGAATCCCACTGGAGCATTGCAGCGCACCCAAATACCTGGGAGGAGTCACTCTGGACCGTGCTCTGACCTACAAGAAGCACTGCCTGAACATCAAGCAAAAAGTGGGTGCTAGAAACAATATCATACGAAAGCTGACTGGCACAACCTGGGGATCACAACCAGACACAGTGAAGACATCTGCCCTTGCGCTATGCTACTCTGCTGCTGAGTATGCATGCCCAGTGTGGAACACATCTCACCATGCTAAAACAGTGGATGTGGCTCTTAATGAGACATGCCGCATTATCACGGGGTGTCTGCGCCCTACACCACTGGAGAAATTACACTGCTTAGCCGGTATTGCACCACCTGACATCCGCCGGGAAGTAGCAGCCAATAGTGAAAGGACCAAGGCAGAGACACCTCCAGCTCATCCCCTGTTTGGGTATCAGCCAGCACGCCAACGACTTAAATCAAGAAATAGTTTTCTAAGATCTACAGAGACACTCGCTGGAACACCTTAGCAAGTGAGAGTCCAAAAGTGGCAGGCTCAAACCCAGAACCTCAATCAATGGCTGATACCCAATGAGAGACTCCCTCCTGGGCAGACAGAAGACTGGGCGGCTTGGAGGGTGCTGAACAGACTGCGCTCTGGCCCCACGGGATTCAGATCCAACCTTGAGAAATGGGGCCACAAAGTGGAATCCACGACATGTGAGTGTGGAGAAGAGCCAACCACTGACCACCTGCTGCAATGCAACCTGAGCCCTGCCACATGCACAATGGAGGACCTTCTTCCAGCAACACCGGAGGCACTCCAAGTGGCCAGATACTGGTCAAAGGACATTTAACCAACTACCAGACTCACAAGTTTTGTATTCTGTCTATTTGTTTGCTTTGTTCTGTTAGAAACGTAATATAATGGATTGGTTGCTGATGACTCGATAAATAAATAAATAAATATTATTATTATTATTATTATTTGTACGTTTTGCATGCTATCGCTGCTGTGTTTGGATCACTGTGCTATGTGTTTTGGCATATGTGTTTTATACTGGTGTGTGCGTGTGATTGTGTATGTGTGTGCATATACATACATACATATATAATGTTGAAAAGCTGATGCAATATGAGGATTGTATCATATTTGTGTCAGCTCCAATTCCGAGCACAATTCAAAGTGTTGGTTTTGACCTATAAAACCTTATATGGCTCCGGTCCAGCGTACCTGTCCGAATGTATCTCCTAATAATAATAATAATAATAATAATAATAATAATAATAATAATAATAATAATAATAATAATAAACCTTTATTTATACCCTACTACCATCTCCCGAAGGACTCCCGAAGGAATGTACAAAATCTATCCCTTTGGGTCTTCAAAACCAACGCGAAGCAGGAGCGCTGGAAGGCCGAGAGAGAGGCGGCTGCCTGGCTTCCTTCCAGCCATTCACACCATCAGAGAGGCTCGACACAAAAGCCCTGCCTGAAGACGGCTTTTTCTTTCGAGTGGCTCCCTGAGAAAGGCCGTTTGTCAAACCCAGGCGCCTCCGTCTCGATTTGCTCCCAGCTGTTCTGCCAAATCCGGAGGATAAAAGCTGCCAGGCAGGGGCCATCTTTTCCTGCGCTTCAAGGGCAGCCTGCCAGTGAAAGAACGGGGAAAGGCCCAAAGAGCAAGCTCACAAAACACATCAATGTGGAGACAGAGAAAGGTCTAGTCGTTGCTTTACTTCCTTGGAGTGCAGTATTATTGCTTATAATTGTGTTGTATTTGGGTTGTTGTAGGTTTTTCGGGCTATATGGCCATATTCTAGAGGTATTTTCTCCTGACGTTTCGCCTGCATCTATGGCAAGCATCCTCAGAGGTAGTGAGGTCTGTTGGAAATAGGAAAAAAAGGGTTTATATATCTGTGGAGTTGGAAGAGACCTCTTGGGCCATCCAGTCCAACCCCATTCTGCCAAGAAGCAGGAATATTGCATTCAAATCACCCCTGACAGATGGCCATCCAGCCTCCGCTTAAAAGCCTCCAAAGAAGGAGCCTCCACCACAAGCACTCTAAACACCTTCGCAGAAGCATACGAGAAGCTCGTGACCGCATACGTGCTCGCATCGCTGTCTACGAACCCACACGCTCACTCCGGTCATCTGGGGAGGGCCTGCTCGTGATCCCGCCCGCGTCACAAGCGCGCTTGGTGGGGACGCGAGACAGGGCCTTCTCCGTGGTGGCCCCCCGCCTCTGGAACACCCTCCCGAAAGATCTCAGACAAGCCCCTACACTGGCAGTCTTCAGGAAGAATTTGAAAACCTGGCTGTTCCAACGTGCCTTTTCAGATTAGGAATCTCCCAGTTCCAAATCCTAGAAGCACTTTAGTACCAAAATCACCGCACACTGCACACTGCACTTATATCATAATCCCATACTCCTCCGACACATCAGCACTTTTTAACCTTGTACCCTACTCTGGCCGACCCAGTTTTTTAATATTGTCTTATCGTATTGCTATTGTTATTGTTTTTTCTGCTTAACTGTTTTTATTTGCTAGATACTGTATTGTTGTTTTGTGTTGGGCTTCGGCCTATTGTAAGCCGCATCGAATCCTGTGGGAGATGCTAGCGGGGTACAAATAAAGTTATAATAATAATAATAATAATAATAATAATAATAATAATAATAAAGCTCGGCCTGTCATTGAACATTGAAAAAACCAAGGTGCTCTTCCAGCAGTCAACCAGCCAACCCCTCTCTAATGCCAGTGATACAGCTTAATGGTGTCACATTAGGAAATGTTGATCATTTCCGCTCCCTTGGCAGCCACCTCTTCACAAAAGTCAATGTTGACAATGAAATACAACACCGCCTGAGCTCTGCGAGTGCAGCATTTTTCCAAATGAAGCAGAGAGTGTTTGAGGACCGGGACATCCGTAGGGAGACCAAGGGGCTTGTTTATAAAGCTATTGTCCTCCCAACCCTGCTGTATGCCGGCGAAACGTGGACTGTCTACAGACACCACATGCAACTCCTGGAACGATTCCATCAGCGCTGCCTCTGGAAGATCCTGCAAATCTCTTGGGAAGACAGGCGGACAAACGTCAGTGTGCTGGAAGAAGCAAAGACCACCAGCATTGAAGCGATGGTCCAAGAACGGGAAACGGAACGTTGGTGGACAGGAAAAGAGTTTGAAAGATGGGCTATTTATTTATCATGTCATCCGCAACCAGAACATTATATTACATTTCTAACAGAACAAAACAAACAAACAGATAAAAAAAACACACAAATTTTGCAAACTTGGTAGCTGATTAAATGTCCTTTGACCAGTATCTGGCCACTTGGAGTGCCAACCTTAAAATCTCTGGCATAGACACTGAGAACTGGGAAGCCCTGGCCCTTGAGCACTCCAGCTGTAGGTCAGATGTGACCAGCAGTGCTGCAGAATTTGAAGAGGCATGAGTGGAGGGTGAAAGAGAGAAGCGTGCCAAGAGGAAGGCGCGTCAAGCCAACCCCAACCGAGACCGCCTTCCACCTGGAAACCGATGCCCTCACTGCGGAAGAAGATGCAGAGCAAGAGGGATCCACAGCCACATACGGACCCACAAAAATACAGGAAGACAATCCTCCTCGGAAAACGAGGGATCGCCTAAGTATGAAGTAGCAACAAAAACGATGTGATGGTTGGGGGTCACCACAACATGAGGAAGGTTGAGAAGCAGTGCTTTGCCATAAACAGCTTACCTGTTGCCGAATCCTTGGGTTCCACCGAATGTAATAATTGACCCAGAGTTCCAAGTGCCGCATACTGGCGACAGGATAAAGAGCACGATTCAATTCTTTCGTGTAAAAGGGGTTGACATATTTTGCTTTTGTGCTGTTGATCAAGGACCAGAGAGACAACGTTTTCTCGCTCAACTTCTGCACACACACACACACACACAAAGAGAAATACCAAAGAGTCAGCATTATTTCAGGTACGTGGCACACAACGGAACCGTGTGGCTTGACAGCTTTTGCACTTCACGTAAGTGCTGTCTTGCGTAACGGCCCTTATGTAACAGGCACACATTCTCTCAAAGGCATCTTCAAAAGCGCCCGTTGAAGGAAGGAGCGTAAGAAGAGTCCATCAGAACAAGGACCTTTCCAGGGCCCAGCGTTCTGTTTCCGATGTTAACAACCCGGAAACAGGGCATGAAAACAAAGAAAACAAGCATAAGGAGCTATTTTTCAAATTTATTTTGAAAGCCTGGAGCTCCATGTCTATTTATCAGGCTATATGGTTTCAATGAAGGTACTCCCTCTGACGAAACTCAGCTTTTAGGATCAATATCCATGGGCAACTGGGTCCCAAGACCAATCCTGCCCTGCCAAGATCTAATTCCATAAAGTTTCTTTTAAACGGGCTCCCCTCCTTCCTTCACAACCGTGGACAGCGAGTGGAGAGGGGAGGCCTGGCCTCTGAGAGGTCCCCCCTCTCTCTCTCTCTGGTGGGGTTCCTCCTCAGGGGGCCATTCTCTCCCCTCTCTTGTTGAACATCTCTATGCGACCACTTGCTCAGCTGGTCCGAGGTTTTGGGCTGGAGTGTGACCAGTACGCCGATGACACTCAGCTGGTGCTGAAGACGGAAGGCCGACCGGACTCTGTACCCGATTGTTTCCATCAGTGCCTCATTGAGGCCGTGACTGAATGGCTGCGTGCCAGCAGGTTGAGGGTGAATCCAGCAAAGACGGAGATCCTATGGCTGGGTCGACCGGGCAGTGAGGATCTCCAGCTGCCTACCCTGGATGGCGAAGCGCTACGCCCATCATCGTTGGTCAAGAGCCTGGGAGTCCTTTTGGACCCTCTGCTGAGGATGGAGGCCCAGGTCTTTCTCCGCCGTGAGCAGAACCGCCTTCTTTCTAGACGGCTGGCCCCCTCCCTGTCCAGGGACGACCTGGCTACGGTCATCTCAAGACTGGACTACTGCAACGCCCTCTACATTGGCCTTCCTCTGTCGGTGATCCGGAAGCTCAAGTTGGTACAAAATTCAGGTGGGAATTCCAATGAGAGGCCACATCACCCCAATCTGACTGCAGCTGCATTGGTTACCCATTGAGCACCGGATCACTTTCAAAGAGATGGGATTCACCTTGAAGGTCTTGCATGTTCTGGGGCCAATGTACCCGAGGGACCGCCTCACCCCCTCCCAACCCCAGAGATCCCTCCGTTCTGAGGACCAAGATCTAATGGAAGTTCCCAGTGACAAGACCTTGCGCCTAACAGCAACCAGACGCAGAGCCTTCACAGCAGTGGCACCATCACTCTGGAATACTCTGCCAACTGAAGTCCGTGCCTTGTGGGACTTACCAGCTTTCCGCAGGGCATGGAAGACATATCTGTTTCGACAGGCCTTTGATCTTTGATATTGCTGTTTTTAAATTGTTTTAAATTGTTTTAAAATTGTGTTAGATTTTAGCCGCTCTGAGCCCCAGGGTAGTGGCGACATAGACGTTTGAATAATTAATAAATAAATAAATAAATAAATAAATAAATTCCACATAAAGTGATCAAAGGCATTCAGCTTTTACGTCACATATTTGTAGGAATCCTTTTTGGAGGGAGAATACAGTGGAATAGAAATAAATACAACAACAACAACAACAACTCACCTCTTTCTCTCTCACAGAGTCACAGTTGTACAAGAAAGTCCCAAAGCGGCAGCTATACAAGTGATCCAGAATCGTAATCAAAAATTGCTCGTTGAATTCAAAAGCCGTTGGAAACTAGACAAAAAAAAGGGGCAAACAGAGCAAGAAAGGGCATCACAGCATGAACACAAACAGAACCAGCTTTGATTGGAAGGAAAAATAGATCCAATTACGGTTACACTACAATTTTCAATGTGCAGGCAGCCCCCAAGTTGATAATAATAATAATAATAATAATAATAATAATAATAATAATAATAATAATAATAATAATTTATTTATCGTGTCATCAGCAACCAGACATTTGTATTACATTTTTAACTAAAACAAACAAACAAACAAAACACAGATTTTGCAAACTTGGTAGTTGATTAAAATTCCTTTGACCAGTCTCTGGCCCCTTGGAGTGCCTCTGGTGTTGCCACAAGAAGGCCCTCCTTTATGCATCATGTGGCAGGGCTCAGGGTGCATTGCAGCAGGTGGTCAGTGGTTTGCTCCTCTCCGCACTCGCATGTCGTGGACTCCACTTTGTGGGCCCATTTCCTAAGATTGGCTCTACATCTCCCAAACGTCAAGGTCTATTTTCCCCAAACTCCACCAGTGTTCACATTTGGGCATATTGAATATTCGTGCCAACTTTGGTGCAGATCCATCATTGTTTGAGTCAACAGTGCTCTCTGGATGGAGGTGAACTACAACTCCCAAATTCAAGGTCAGTGCCCACCAAACCCTTCTAGTATTTTCTGTTCATCATGGGAGTTCTGTGTGCCACATTTGTTTCAATTCCATTGCTGGTGGAGTTCAGAATGCTCTTTGATTGTAGGTGAACTATACATCCCAGCAACTACAACTCCCAAATGAAAAAAATCATAATTTTTGAGTGATGGTCACTCCTTGTGTAGTGAGATGTTTGAAACATTTGTTTCAATTCCATTGCTGGTGGAGTTCAGAATGCTCTTTAATTGTAGGTGAATTAGAAATCCCAGCAACTACAACTCCCAAATGACAAAATCAATCCCCCTGCAACCCCACCAGTATTCAAATTTGCACCGGGATTGTGGCGCAGCTGGGATGAGTGTCAGCTGCATTAAGATCACTCTGACCAAAAGGTCATGAGTTCGAAGCCAGCTCGGGTTGGAGTGGGTTTCCAACCAATTGTGTGTAGCCTGTTGTCGACCTTTGCAACCCGAAAGACAAGTAGGAAAATTAGGTACCACCTTAAAGTGTGGGGAGGCTAAATTAACTGATTTATGAGGCCATAAAGAAGACTCCAGCAAAGCATTCCAGCAGGGAAGCATGCGGGGAATGCGGAAGTGCTTCATCAGCGTCGCAGATGGACGATGAAAGCGACAGCCTCTGTGTATGTCTGTATATGTTGTATGTTAAAATTGGCATTGAATGTTTGCCATCTATGTGTACACTATAATCCGCCCTGAGTCCCCTGCGGGGTGAGAAGAAGGGTGGAATAGAAAAGCTGTAAATAAATAAATAAATAAAATAAAATATTGTGTACTTGTGCCAAATTTGGTCCAGTGAATGAAAATACATCCTGCATATCAGATATTTATATGATGATTCATAACAATAGCAAAATTACAGTTATGAAGTAGCAACAAAAGTAATTTTCTGGTTGGGGAGGTCACCACAACATGAGGAACTGTATTCAGGGGTTGCGGTATTAGGAAGGTTGAAAACAAATTAAGCACCAAAACATCATGTTTTACAACAAATCAACAGAAAAGAACAGTTCAATACATGGAGCAGAACTTACTTGTTTAGACATCTGCCAAACACAGTCAATGAACTGGAGGAAGATGGGAGACCTGTCCGCATCGGCGTGGTTTTTGTCTCCGTGGCCAATTCTCTAGTATTTTAATAAAAAGAGAGAGAGATACATAAACATCACTTGATTTACATTGACATGCGCTTGGCAATGACTAACGTTCAACACAACTAAGAATGACTTCTCAATCTCTTCATGCTGCATTAAGTCCAGAGAAAATCTAAATTAATTGAGTTTTCCATTGTTTCTTTCCATCTTTTTTTTCAACAAGGAAACCAGAAGATCGAAACATGTCAGATATATGGATTTGTGGGATACGGCCATTTTATTTAATGAGCTTAATTCAGAAAGCACATGCCTATTGGGTCAGGTCTCCTCATCTTGTCTACTTCAGAGAACATTTATGCGTGTGTTCACTAGGATTTCATAGGTGCGTAGCTGTTGCAACCCAGAGCAGGAAACGGGACCCTCAGACAACAATCCACCACACTTGAATTCAGGAAAAACAATCCTTTTTTATTGAAGAAAGATGAGTACAAAAATAGAGAAAATGTGCAAGGTAAAAAGCCACAGTAAAAATCAGCAACAAGAAATGTCCATGAACAAGATCAAAAACCCACAGTGACACGGCTAAATCCTGGAACCTGTTAGCAATCCACTCACCGTACTTGAAGCAACTAGGAAGCCTCTTAGGAATAAGGCCACTGGAATCAGGAGACCTGCCAAGGATGATGCCTGAATCTGGAACGATGCCTGGTCTGAAGATGCATCCAGGCGAGAGGTACTTAAGGCCGAGAAATCTATTACGTGACACGCCTGCAGGCTTTGTTTGCATTTCTCTCAGTCTAGCTGACCTTCGTAAACTTTGAGATTCTCCCCTGCTCTGCCAAATCTGCCCTCTCCTATCCTCATTAGAGAGACCGGGTGTCAGATTCTCTGGAGAGCTAAGACTGGGAGGAAAAGGGAGTGAAAGTTTGCCGCCTGGCTCTGAAATATTCTCATGGGAATTTGGACTTTCACTTTCCAAGGCTGCAGGAGTTTCACTACACAAACCGTCATCTTCTACATTGCCCTCAGAATCAACATCTTCATTGGCATCAGGAAATACGATCAGAGAATCAGGTTCAGATTCACACACAGGCTGAACCCCAACACTAGCTTAGGTTTGTGCATTTCCCCTGTTAATTGGTTTTTCGAAATTGCACACGTACATTTCTGGTTGAATTGCCATCTCCAACTGTAGACTGTATTCCTAGTATGAATCCAAGTGTTTGTATCAAGAAAAACATATGGCTATTATCAGAAATATTAAATACGGTACTCAAAATTCGGAAAGTCTTCCTAAAGTGTCATCCTCCAGCCACCAAATACGACAACTCATTGATTCAAAAGCACCCCTATTTGCTAATTTTAGATGGATTAGGGATCAACTGGTTTTTTCACTGCCTATGACAGGGAAAACCAGCTGATCCCCAACCCATCTAAAACACAGACATGTGCCTTTCACCTCAAGAACAGACAAGCATCCCGAGCTCTGAGGATTATTACCTGGGAAGGAAGGAATCCCACTGGAGCATTGCAGTGCACCCAAGTACCTGGGAGTCACCTGGACAGTGCTTTGACCTACAAGAAGCACTGCCTGAACATCAAGCAAAAAGTGGGTGCTAGAAGTAATATCATACGGAAGCTGACTGGCACAATCTCGGGATCACAACCAGACACAGTGAAGACATCTGCCCTTGCGCTATGCTACTCTGCTGCTGAGTATGCATGCCCAGGGCGGAACACATCTCACCACGCTAAAACAGTGGATGTGGCTCTGAATGAGACATGCCGCATTATCACGGGGTGTCTGCGCCCTACACCACTGGAGAAATTACACTGCTTAGCCGATATTGCACCACCTGACATCCGCTGGGAAGTAGCAGCCAAAAGTGAAAGGACCAAGGCAGAGACATCTCCAGCCTATCCTCTGTTTGGGTATCAGCCAGCACGCCAACGACTTAAATCTAGAAATAGTTTCCTAAGATCTACAGAGACACTCGCTGGAACACCTCAGCAAGCGAGAGTCCAAAAGTGGCAGGCTCAAACCCAGAACCTGATACCAAATGAGAGACTTCTCCCTGGGCACACAGAGGACTGGGCGACTTGGAAGGCACTGAACAGACTGCGCTCTGGCACCACGAGATGCAGAGCCAACCTTCAGAAATGGGCCACAAAGTGGAATCCTCGACATGCGAGTGTGGAGAAGAGCCAACCACTGACCACCTGCTGCAATGCAACCTGAGCCCTGCCACATGATGCACAATGGAGGACCTTCTTGCGGCAACACCAGAGGCACTCCAAGGGGCCAGAGACTGCTCAAAGGACATTTAATCCACTACCAAGCTTGCACATTTTGTTTTGTCTGTTTGTTTGTTTGTTTTTGTTCAAAATGTAATACAAATGTCTGGTTGCCGATGACACGATAAATAAATATACCCCTATTTGCAAAACAGCTCCAAACTGGAAGGCACGGGGAGGCTTTTACAAATGACTCGGAGCTGTTTCCAAAAGGCACATTTGTTTATTACTGACGCAGCCGTTAGCTGCCAAAGTTTCAGAGTTATGCCCCTCTGCAGCAACGTGGTTTTGCTTCAGGCCACGATTTAAAAGCCACGTCTCTTCAGCCTGGTAAAATCTGCTCAGGAACACGGCCGGCTCTGACAGGCCAAGCTTGCTTTAATGGGCAAATGGGAAACCCACAAGGATAAATCACGTTTATATGCATGATAGCAAGACGCGAAGCACTATTCCTTAAATCAGTGCTGAATCGACAATGGGAATGCAACAGCCCAACCCCGGGAGATACGGCTGGCGTTCTACTACTAATTTACAATCCATGTTGTTGCTTCCATAGGCTGGTGCTTGAAGCTGATGGTAAGGCTCCAGAAGTTTCAAAAGGAGATGCGAGCGAATGCCTTTCCAAGCCAAGTTGCATGCAAAGAAATGTGACAAGTGGAGTGACAAGTGGAGTGCCGCAGGGTTCCGTCCTGGGCCCGGTCCTGATCAGGATCTTTATTAATGACTTAGATGAAAGGCTAGAAGGCATGATCATCAAGTTTGCAGACGACACCAAATTGGGAGGGAGATTAGAGAGATTATGGGCCAAAACTAACAAAATGAAGTTCAACAGGGACAAATGCAAGAGACTCCACTTAGGCAGAAAAAACTAAATGCAACGATACAGAATGGGGACGATGAGGCCTGGCTCGAGAGTCCCAGAAACTACAACTCCCAAATGTCAAAATTCTATTTCCCCCAAATTTCACCAGTGTTCACATTTGGGCATATTGAGTATTTGTGTAGAGTTTGGTCCAGATTCATCATTGTTTGAGTGCACAGTGATCTCTAGATGTAGGTGAACTATAACTCCAAAACCAAAGGACACTGCCCACCCAACCCAATATTTTCTGTTGGTCATGGAAGAACTGTGTGCCAAGTTTGGTTCAATTCCATCGTCGGTGGGGCTCAGAATACTCTTTGATTGTAGGTGAACTATAAATCTGAGTAAATACAACTCCCAAATGTCAAGATTCTATTTTCCCCAAACTCCACCAGTCTTCACATTTGGGCATATTGAGTATTCGTGTAGAGTTTGGTCCAGACCCATCATTGTTTGAGTGCACAGTGGTCTCTAGATGTAGGTGAACTATAACTCCAAAACCAAAGGACACTGCCCACCAAAACCTTCCAGTATTTTCTGTTGGTCATGGACGAACTGTGTGCCAAGTTTGGTTCAATTCCATTGTTGGTGGGGCTCAGAATGCTCTTTGATTGTAGGTGAACTATAAATCCTAGCAACTACAACTCCCAAATGTCAAGATTCTATTTTCCCCCAAACTCCTCCAGTGTTCACATTTGGGCATATTGAGTGTTCGTGTAGAGTTTGGTCCAGATCCATCATTGTTTGAGTCCACAGTGATCTCTGGATGTAGGTGAACTACAACTCCAAAACCAAAGGACACTGCCCACCAAAACCTTCCAGTATTTTCTGTTGGTCATGGGAGAACCGTGTGCCAAGTTTGGTTCAATTTCATCATTGGTGGGGTTCAGAATGCTCTTTGATTGTAGGTGAACTATAAATCCCAACAACTACAACTCCCAAATGACAAAATCAATTTTTTTTGAGTGAAGGACATACATTGGGTTGTGAGGTGTTTTGTGTCCAAATTTGGTGTCAATTCATCCAGTGGTGTTTGAGTTCTGTGAATCCCACAAACAAACATGACATTTTTATGTATATAGATTATTATTATTATGATTATTATTATGATTATTATTATTAGGATTTAATGGCACTCACGGAGGCAAACTTGTGCCCGAAGCTGATCCATTCCTTCTGCACCAACACTTCGAAGCCCACAATGGTTCGGTAGTAGCTGTCCAGCATCAGCATGGCGAGGGAGGTGAGCTGCGCGGTGCGATCCCAACCGTCGCTGCAGTGGACCAGGACCGAACTCTTCCCCGAGGACACTTTGTCCGCAACCTGAATGGCACCTGTCAAAACAAGCTGGTCGAAAGGGAAAAGAAACAGGCCGAGATCATTCCAAAGCCTGGCAAAGTCTGAAAAGAAGAGGGATTTGAACTGGAAGGCAGGAAAGGCTTTTTTTTTTTGGGGGGGGGGGGTCTCCTTGTGGTCACCTTGATGTGTTCAAGCCAATGCGTGGACTCCAGGCTCGAGAGCCAGTGCGATTCCTCCACGTGCGGGTAAACAATGTCCTTGAGCTTCTTCAAGGATTCCCGCATGACGTGGATGTTGTGGATATCCAGGAAGAGCAGCTCGGCGTTGGGATAGGCGTCCTCGCTCTCGTACCCTCCTCCCGTGGCCTGGAAATCAGAAGAGAAAGTTGCACGCATCCTTTAGATCAGTGGGGGGGCCATTTTACACAAGTGGTGGTTTGCACAATTATTTATTTGGAGCTTTTATAACCCGGTCTTCTTGACTTCCGAAGAGGGACTCAGGCCGGTTCACAACAGGAGATTCATAGACAATAGTAGAAAAACATAACAACACCATCATACATCAATACATAAAATACATTACAATACAGGTCATACAATGATCTGGCCAGGGTGGTCCATGCCTTGGTCACCTCCAGATTGGACTACTGCAATGCGCTCTACATGGGGCTGCCCTTGAAGACGGCTCGGAAGCTCCAACTGGTCCAACGATCAGCAGCCAGGATGCTAACTGGGGCCCCTTACAGAAAGAGGTCAACCCTCCTGTTTAAGGAGCTCCACTGGCTGCCATTTATTTTCCGAGCCCAATTCAAGGTGCAGGTGCTGACCTACAAAGCCCTGAACGGTTTGGGACCAGCCTACCTGCGTGACCGCATTTCCATCTACGAACCCACGCGTTCTCTTCGGTCATCTGGAGAGGCCCTGCTCATGATCCCACCGGCGTCGCAAGCACGCTTGGTAGGGACGCGGGACAGGGCCTTTTCCGTGGTGGCCCCCCAACTCTGTCACATCAGCACTTTTAATCCTTGTACCCACCTTGTGGCCCGGCCCAGTTTTATTGTGTTTTAGTGTATTGTGCCTGTTGTTTACTTTGCTTTATTTTGTTTTTAATTGTTTGATTTGCTTGATTGTATTGTTATGTTGTGTTGTTGAGGCCTCGGCCTGTGTAAGCCGCATCGAATCCTTTGGGAGATGCTCGCGGGGTACAAATAAAGTTTAATAATTAATAAAAATGACATAAGGCCAGGTCATCAGAGTAAAATCACAAATTCATCAGGAGTTATTGACCCAGTCATCATTCTGCAAATGCTATATTCCAAAGCCAAGATTTTACCAGCTTTCTGAAAGTCAGGAGGGAAGGGGCAGATCTAGTCTCCAGCGGGAGAGAGAGTTCCAGAGCCGAGGGGCCACCACTGAGAAGGCCCTGTCCCTCGTCCCCACCAGACGTGATTGCGAGGGTGGTGGGACCGAGAGCAGGGCCCCTCCAGAAGATCTTAACAACCTTGATGGTTCATAGGGGACAATACGTTCGGACAGGTAAACTGGGCCGGAGTCGTTTAGGGATTTATAGGTCAGCACCAGCACTTTGAATTGTGCTCAGAAGCTGATTGGCAGCTAGTGGAGCTGGCGCAACAGAGGAGTAGTATGCTCCCTGTACCCTTCTCCTGTTAGTAGTCTTGCTGCCGCTCATTGGACTAATTGCAGTTTCCGGGGAGGCTTCAGAGGCAACACCACGTAGAGAGCGTTGCAGTAGTCTATACGGGATGTAACCAGAGCGTGGACCACTGTGGCCAAATCAGACTTCCCAAGGTACGGGCGCAGCTGGCGCACAAGTTTTAATTGTGCAAAAGCTCCCCTGACCACCACCGAGACCTGGGGTTCCAGGCTCAGCCATGAGTCCAGGATCACTCCCAAACTGCTCAATAGCCCACTTGTACACAGAAAGGAAAATAAATCAGTTCAGCCAATAATGTGACTGGTGAAACTTATTATATACGGTATATACTCGAGTATAAGCCTAGTTTTCCAGCCCCCTTTTTAGGCTTAAAAAGCTCCCCTCGAGTCAAGCTTATTTATTATTTTACTCTGTAATTAGTATTATTTTTATTTCATGTATTATTTTACTCTCTTTACTATTATTACATTTACAGTATTTTACCCTATTGTTATTATTATTATTATTATTGTTATTACATTTATTATTTTACACTATTTATGATTATTATTACATTTATTATTTTACACTATTTATGATTATCATTATATTTATTATTTTACTTTATTATTATCGCATTTATTATTTTACTCTATTATAACATTTAATATTCTACTCTATTATTACTGTTATTATTGCATTTTCATTATTTTACTTTATTATCATTATATTTATTATTTTACTCTCTTTATTATTTCATGTATTATTTTACCCTTATGTATTATTTTTCTTTCTGTGTACAAGTGGGCTATTGTGTTGCATGTATGTATTATTATTATTAATTATTATTATTATTATTAAACTTTATTTGTACCCGGCTAGCATCTCCCGCAGGACTCGGGAGATGCGGCTTCCAAAGGCCAAGGCCTCAACACAACAACAGCAAAACAATAACAATACAATTCAAAGCAAATTAAAAACATAAGCAATAACAAAACATTACATCATTGCGCAATAAAAACCAGGGGCCGGGCCAGTGATAGGTACAGGTTAAAAAGTGCTGGGTGTGGCAGGAGGTATGTTGGGATTCTGAGCAAGTGCAGAGTGCAGAGAGTCCTAAACTCTAATAAAGTGCTTCTGGGACGGAGTGCTGGAGGTTATCATATTCCAGAAAGGCACATCGGAATAGCCAGGTCTTCAAGTTCTTCCTAAAGACTGCCAATGAGGGTGCTAGTCTAATGTCTTTGGGGAGAGCGTTCCAGAGTCGGGGGGCAACCACAGAGAAGGCCCTGTTCCTTGTCCCCACCAAACGCGCCTGCGACGCAGGTGGGATTTGCTCTCCGGATGAGCAAAGAGAATGCGTGGGTTCATAAATGGAGATGTGGTCACGCAGGTAGGCAGGTCCCAAAACGTTTAGGGCTTTGTAGGTGAGCACCTGCCCCTTGAATAGGGCTCGGAAAATAAACGGCAGCCAATGGAGCTCCTAGAACAGGAGGGATGACCTCTCTCTGTAATGAGCCCCAATTAACATCCTGGCTGCTGCCCGTTGGACCAGTTGGAATTTCCAAGCCGTTTTCAAGGGCAGCCCCACGTAGAGTGCATTACAGTAGTCCAAGGCATGGACCACCCCGGCCAGATCAGCCTTTATGAGGTACGGTCGCAGTTGGCGCACGAGTCTCAATTGTGCAAAAGCCCCCCTGGCCACCGCCGACGCCTGAGTCTCAAGCGTAAGTGATGAATCCAAGAGGATTCATCCAAACTGCGGACCTGTGGCTTCAGGGGGAGTGTAACCCCGAACAACACAGGTTGCCACCCTATACCCCGATCCGGTTTGCGATCGACCAGGAGGACCATTGTCTGGTCAGGATTAATCTTCAGCTTGTTCGTCCTCATCCAGACAGACACAACGGCCAGGCACTCTTCCAGCACCCGAGAAGCCTCCTTGGAATTGGGTGGAAAACAGTAGTAGAGTTGTGTGTCATCTGCATAGAGGTGGCAACTAACTCCAAAACTCCGGATGCTATTTGACATCATACACATTTCTGCTTTCGTCACCACCTCCGGCCATTTAAACATGAGTTTCTTCCAATGAAACCTATTACAGCTCACGCTCTGGTTTTAGGACAGATTTATTTATTACAGCTTGTGCGCCAGCTGCGCCCGTACCTTGGGAAGTCTGACTTGGCCACGGTAGTCCACGCTCTGGTTACATCCCGTTTAGACTACTGCAATGCTCTCTACGTGGGGTTGCCTTTGAAGACAGCTCGGAAGCTCCAACTAGTCCAACGCTCGGCAGCCATGATTTTAACAGGAGCGGAGCGCAGGGAGCATACAACCCCCCTGGTTGCCAACTCCACTGGCTACCGATCTGCTACCGGGCTCAATTCAAAGTGCTGGCGTTGGCCTTTAAAGCCCTAAACGGTTCCGGCCCAAGCTACCTATCCGACCGCATCTCTGCCTATGAACCCACCAGGACTTTGAGATCTTCCGGGGAGGCCCTGCTCTCGATCCCGCCTGCTTCTCAAGCTCGGCTGGCGGGGACAAGAGATAGGGCCTTCTCGGTGGTGGCTCCTCGGCTGTGGAACGCCCTTCCTACGGACATTAGACTAGCACCATCTCTAATGGTATTCCGCAAAAAGGTGAAGACCTGGATGTTTGTGCAGGCGTTTGAGTAATTTAGTGCAATCTGGTAATGGATAGGAATGGAACAATGGACGACGAACCTGGACTACGCTTGGATGATGAGAAGATTGGGTACGGTTGTTTTTCGTAATAATTGTGCATTGTAATTGCTTATTGGTAATTTATGGATAATGTGTTAAGTCAATTGTTATATGTTGTATGGAACCACTGCTGTTTCTATTGTTTTTACTGTTTGTGAACCGCTGTGAGTCGCCTTCGGGCTTGAGATACAGCCGTATAGAAGCAAAGTAAATACATAAATAAATAAATTTCCGCCAAGGATGTTTTAAAAACACACACACACACACAGCGAAACGGCACTACAAAGAAAACACGTTTTCTTAAGCTTGGCAGCGGTTGCGCCTGACCCCTGGCTTGGTACCCAGGGCTGAAAGAACACAACGTACACACCCGAAAGAGTGACGGAAAATCTGAACAGACTTTCCGAGGCACATTTGGTGTCAACATGTTTCCCAACACAGCAGAAGCCAGCCAAGCCCTCCTAGCCAGAAGGAAAAGGGAGTGTTTCTGTCTATCAACATGGTACAAAAAGGGGCACCAAAGCCTCTCTCGGCCGCGTCTGTCTCTCTGTGTGTCTGGAGCGAAGGGAGGCGGATAATTTTAGCCGCGGATGGGCTGAGTCATTATCGTGGGGCGCGGACTGAGGAAGGACAAAGCCAAGGGAGTCGCCAGGATGCAGGAGGGAAGGAATGCAGCCACCTAAACAGCCTCCAAATCCTGCATTTCTTTCCCATTTAAGGGTTGACAACAATGACACTTCTCCCACTGCTTTCAAAGCCCAAGTCGGAATTAGTTCAGGCTTCTTGGGTCAAGCAGTTCCAAAGAAAACCCTATTTATTTGTCGTGTCAGGGCAACCAGTCAATTATATTACATTTCTAACAGAACAAAGCAAACAAACAGACAAAATACAAAATTTGTGAGTTTGGTAGTTGATTAAATGTCCTTTGAGCAGTCTCTGTTCCCTTGGAGTGCCTCTGGTGTTGCCGCAAGAAGGTCCTCCCTTGTCCATCATGTGGCAGGGCTCAGGGTGCATTGCAGCAGGTGGTCAGTGGTTGGCTCTTCTCCACACTCGCATGTCGTGGATTCCACTTTGTGGCCCCATTTCTTAAGGTTGGCTCTGCATCTCATGGTGCCAGAGCGCAGTCTGTTCAGCGCCTTCCTGTGTGCCCAGGGGGAGTCTCTCATTTGGTATCAGCCATTGATTGAGGTTCTGGGTTTGAGCCTGCCACTTTTGGACTCTCGCTTGCTGAGGTGTTCCAGCGCGTGTCTCTGTAGATCTTAGAAAACTATTTCTTGATTTAAGTCGTTGACGTGCTGGCTGATACCCAAACAAGGGATGAGCTGGAGATGTCTCTGCCTTGGTCCTTTCACTCTTGGCTGCTACTTCCCGGCGGATGTCAGGTGGTGCAATACCGGCTAAGCAGTGTAATTTCTCCAGTGGTGTGGGGCGCAGACACCCCGTGATAATGCGGCATGTCTCATTAAGAGCCACATCCACTGTTTTAGTGTGGTGAGATGTGTTCCACACTGGGCATGCATACTCAGCAGCAGAGTAGCACAGCGCAAGGGCAGATGTCTTCACTGTGTCTGGTTGTGATCCCCAGGTTGTGCCAGTCAGCTTTCGTATGATATTGTTTCTAGCGCCCACTTTTTCCTTGATGTTCAGGCAGTGCTTCTTGTAGGTCAGAGCACGGTCCAGAGTGACTCCTCCCAGGTACTTGGGTGCGCTGCAATGCTCCAGTGGGATTCCTTCCCAGGTAATAATCCTCAGAGCTCGGGATGCTTGTCTGTTCTTGAGGTGAAAGGCACATGTCTGTGTTTTAGATGGATTAGGGATCAGCTGGTTTTCCCTGTAATAGGCAGTAAGAGCACCTAGAGCTTCGGAGAGCTTCTGTTCAACCATCTCAAAGCTTCCTGCTTGAGCGGTGATGGCACAATCATCAGCATAGATGAAACTCTCTGTCCCTTCTGGAAGTGGCTGGTCATTTGTGTAGATGTTGAACATGGATGGAGCAAGCACGCTCCCCTGAGGCAGGCCGTTCTTCTGTTTCCGCCATCTGCTTCTCTGGCCCTGGAACTCAACAAAAAAGCTCCTGTTTTGTAGCAGGTTTCCTATGAGGCGGGTGAGGTGGTCGTCCTTTGTGGCCCCAGGTTTCGGTGGTGGTCAGGGGAGCTTTTGCACAATTAAAACTCGTGCGCCATCTGCGCCCATACCTTGGGAAGTCTGACTTGGCCACGGTGGTCCACGCTTTGCTTACATCCCGTTTAGATTACTGCAACGCTCTCTACATGGGGTTGCCTCTGAAGACTAGTCCAGCGAGTGGCAGCCAGGTTACTAACGGGAGCGGGGAACAGGGAGCATACGACTCCTCAGTTGCGCCAGCTCCACTGGCTGCCAATCAGCTTCCAAGCACAATTCAAAGTGCTGGTCTTAACCTATAAAGCCCTAAACGACTCCGGCCCAATTTACCTGTCCGAACGTATCCTCCCCTATGAGCCATCAAGATTACTAAGATCGTCTGGAGGGGCCCTGCTCTCGATCCCACCGGCCTCACAGGCGCGGCTGGTGGGGATGAGAGACAGGGCCTTCTCGGTGGTGGCCCCTCAACTCTGGAACTCCCTTCCACTGGAGATCAGAACTGCCCCTTCGATTTTAACGTTCAGGAAACAGGTGAAAACCTGGCTTTGGGGATTGGCATTCAACGAATGAGCCATGATCCTGTGATATGGATGGATGATGACGAATAATGACTTTGATGACGACTTACCACTGTAATCATATGATTGTATTTTTGCCATTTTAATTGTTTCAATGTTTTAAATGTTTTAGTGTGATTTAGAAATATGATGTTTTAATGACGGTCCGTAATATTGATGTTGGAAACCGGCCCGAGTCCCTCGAATGGAGGTGAGAAGACCGGGATACAAAACTACCAAATAAATAAATAAATACTATACATTTTTCTCAGGAGGAGGCGGTGGTTCACAGTATCCAGAAAACGCTGAACTTGTTTCACACAAAATGCCCGTGGACTCCCTAACAAACACATGCCTCTTGGGTTTGCAAGTCCACTCCTGCCTGAAGATCTTAGTCACCTCTAGACTGGATTACTGCAATGCACGCTACATGGGGCTGCCCTTGAAAACGCCCCGGAAATTCCAGATGGTCCAACGGGCGGCAGCCATATTGTTAACTGGGGCTCCTTACAGGGAGAGGTCAACCCTCCTGTTCAAGGAGCTCCACTGGCTGCCATTTATTTTCCAGACCCAATTCAAGGTGCTGGTTCTCACCTACAAAGCCCTGAACAGTTTGGGACCCGCTTACCTGCGTGACTGCATCTCTGTGTACGAACCCACACGATCCCTTCGATCATCTGGAGAGGCCCTGCTCACAATCCCACCTGCATTGGTGGGGATGAGAGAGAGGGCCTTTTCGGTGGTGGCCCCTCAACTCTGGAACTCACTTCCTAAGGACATCAGGCAGGCCCCAACTCTGGCAGTCTTTAGGAGGAGCTTGAAGACGTGGTTGTTCCAGTGTGCCTTCCCGGAATAATGACCCCATAGCACTTTGTCCTCCAAAGCACTTGACATATTAGGTCTGCTTGTACGTTTTCCACAAACGTCCCAGCATTATTTCCTATTTTAACTTTTACATTTGGCCTTCCCACAGTTTTAATTGTGTGTTGTCTTATTGTTAATGTTGCATTATTTTATTGTCTATGTTCTTATTTTAATTGCTTGTATTGTTGTTATTATTGCTTGTATTGTTGTGTTTGGGCTCGGCCTCATGTAAGCCGCACCGAGTCCCTTGGTCATTATTAGTGTTATTATTATTATCTGCTCTCCCCTCCTCCTCCATCTCCTCCTCCTCCATCTCCATTGTGGGAAGGCTAAATTAACTGATTTATGAGGCCACAAAGAAGACTCCAGCAAAGCATTCCAGCGGGGAAGCATGCGGGGAATGCGGAAGTGCTTCATCAGCGTCGCAGGTGGACGAGGAAAGCGACAGCTCCCCTGGCGGACAGAAAAAGTGAAATAGCCTCTGTGTATGTCTGTATATGTTTGTATGTCAAAATTGGCACTGAATGTTTGCCATATATGTGTACACTGTAATCCGCCCTGAGTCCCCTGCGGAGTGAGGAGAAGGGCGGAATAGAAAAGCTGTAAATAAATAAGTAAATAAATCTCCTCCTCCTCCAAAGCAAAGCAAGTACACCACTTAAAACCATAAACCATTGAAAGAAGAAAATCTAGAGGTATCTCCTAGGCCTGCTCAATCCATGGTTCTAAATGATCCTAAAGTACTTACAAAACTAAAGTTCTGGTGGTGAAAATTTCAGAACTCTAACAAAACTCTCAAAATTTCATTATGAAGGGCAGTTTCTAATTGGTTCTGTCACAAAAATCACCAATAATGAAATAATAATGAAATTTTGAAAGAGTCCTTTAGTTTTAGTTTTGTAAGTACTTTAGAACCATAGACCACTGAAAGAAGAAAATCTTGAGGTATCTCCTAGGCCTGTCCAATGCATGGTTCTAAATGGTCCTAAAGTACTTACAAAACTAAAGTTCTGGTGGTGAAAATTTCGGAACTCTAACAAAACTCTCAAAATTTCATTATGAAGGGCAGTTTCTAATTGGTTCTGTCACAAAAATCACCAATAATGAAATAATAATGAAATTTTGAAAGAGTCCTGAAATTTTCACCACCAGAACTTTAGTTTTGTAAGTACTTTAGAACCATTTAGAACCATGCATTGAATCTCTAGCACTTCTGGACTCTGAATTGTAAATCGTGTTGCATTCCTACCACAAAGTTTCTTTCAAACAGATTCTATGTCTGTGGGAAAAACGACAAGGTTTTGGTCAACCACCAGCATTGACTCTGCAGAATCAAATGATGACATGGCAACCATTTCTACAGCCCAACTACGACGTAAAAGAGGCATGTCTCTCACCCTGGATGCTCGACCAACACCCGCTTACCTTATTGGCGACGGCATTGACGTTGGGCCTTGCGTCATAGATGGTGAGCTTGGAGAGCTGCCCATTGGTGTCCCTTATGATCTCCAGGTACTTCTCGTCGTCTTTGTTCCTCTTGCCGCTCATCCCAACCAGGGGCTGGCTGCAGCGCGTGATGACGGCCTGGTTTTCCGGGTGGATCCATGATAACACCTGAGCAAGGGGCATCAAAAAGTCACTAATTGCGCGAAGCATTTCCTCAAAACCGTTTGCAGATTCACTACCTGCGGAAACCGGGCCTCTAGTTAAAGCCTCCACACTAAGATTCCCCTTTCTTTCTCGTAGCGTCCTTTCAAGTCATACAGAGAAACCTTTAACCATAGTATTAAGCTATTAAAACACTGCAAGTATGAGAGTTTGTTTATTTATTTACCATATTTATATACGGCCTTTCTCAGCCTGAAGGCAACTCAAGGCCGTTTACTATCAGCATAATTCAATGCCCCCAACAACATAAAATATAGGTAAAACATTAACATATAGTATAAACCATATAAAAACAATAAAATAATATAATAATAAAAGCAATAAAAACAATAAAACACATAATAATAAATAATAAGTAAATAATAAGTAAACAATAAATAATAATAATAATAGCAATAAAAACAATAAAACACATAATAATAAATAATAAGTAAATAATAAGTAAACAATAAATAATAATAATAGCAATAAAAACAATAAAACACATAATAATAAATAATAAGTAAATAATAAGTAAACGATAAATAATAATAATAATAATAATAATAATAGCAATAAAAACAATAAAACACAAGTCCTCAGCGTCTCATTACTAAAATAATTTTCCAGTCTCATCATCCAATCTGTGGATCTAAATTAGCCTGTTACACTGCATCTGTGAATGTCTGCTCCAAGAGCCAGGATTTAACTCTTTTTCGAAATGTTAGGAGGAAGGGGGCCGACCTGATATCCCTAAGGAGGATGTTCCATAGCTGAGAGGCCACCGCTGAGAAGGCCCTGTCTCTCGTCCCCCTACAAAGGAGGCGGGATCGAGAGCAGGGCCTCCCCAGACGATCTTAGAGACCTAGATCAGTGTTTCTCAACCTGGAAGTTGGGACCCCTGGGGGGGTCGCGAGGGGGTGTCAGAGGGGTCGCCAAAGACAGTTAGAAAACACAGTATTTTCTGTTGGTCGTGCGGGTTCTGTGTGGGAAATTTGGCCCAATTCTATCATTGTTGGAGTTCAGAATGCTCTTTGATTATAGGTGAACTATAAATCCCAGCCACTACAACTCCCAAATGTCAAGGTCTATCTTCCCCAAACTGCACAAGTGTCCACATTTGGTCACATTGAGTATTCATGCCAAGTTGGTCCAGATGCATCAGTGCTCTCTGGATGTAGGTAAACTATAACTCCAAAACCCAAGGTCAATGCCCACCACACTCTTCCAGAATTTGTTGTTGTTCATGGGAGCTCTGTGTCCCAAATTTGGTTCAATTCCATCATTGGCGGAATTCAGAATGCTCTTTGATTGTAGGTGAACTATAAATCCCAGCAACTACAACTCCCAAATGACAAAATCAATCCTCCCCTCAACCCCACCAGTATTCAAATTTGGACGTATTGAGTAGTTGTGCCAAATGAATGAAAATACATCCTGCATATCGGATATTTACAAGGTGATTCATAACAGGAGTAAAATTATAGTTGTGAAGTAGCAACGAAAATAATGTTATGGTTGGGGGTCACCACCACATAAGGAACTGTATTAAGGGGTCACGGCATTAGGAAGGTGGAGAACCACTGACCTGGATGGTTCATAGGTCCAAATTGAAGGTCCTTCCTCAAGAACTGAATAGAAAAGCACGTGCTGCTGCCATAAAGTAACTCTGATATCCCTAGGAAGAGCGTTCCATAGCCGAGGAGCCACTGCTGAGGCCCTGTCTCTCTTCCCCCTGCGAAGGAGGTGGGACCGAGAGTAGGGCCTCCCCAGACAATCTTAGAGACGTAGATGCTTCATTGTAGGTCCTTCCTCAAGAACTGAATAGAGAAGCACATGCTGCTGCCATAAAGTAACCTGATATCTCTAGGGAGAGAGTTCCATAGCTGAGGGGCCACCGCTGAGAAGGCCCTGTCTCTCGTCCCCCTACAAAGGAGGCGGGATCGAGAGCAGGGCCTCCCCAGACGATCTTAGAGACCTAGATGGTTCATAGGTCCAAATTGAAGGCCCTTCCTCAAGAACCGAATAGAAAAGAACGTGCTGCTGTGTGCTGTCATAAAGTAACAGTGCAAAACTCAGTTGGTTTCACACAGAGATAGCGGCTCTTAAAATACCCCACAAAACAACTACTTTGAGCTGAGTTCATAATCACACTCAACTCTGACCAAGAAAGACAACAGAAAGTGAAGTCTTTTGAAAATAGTCTGTGTGCCAAGCAAAGGAAAGCTTAACAGGTGGTTCCTCTTAAAACCAGGCATTATTTTAAAGTTCTATGCCTTTGATATATAGTGAAAAAGTGTTAGCAAGCGAGGAGACCGGGGCCAAGGTATCATTCAAGACCACAATTAAATCTTTAGTCAATGATGCAACAGGACTTCTAACTGGGAAACATGTCAAAGTCTTTCAGACAAGAAACATAAATAAATAAATAAATAATAATAATAATAATAATAATAATAATTTATTTATACCCCGCCACCAGCTCCCCAATGGGACTCGGGGCAGCTTACATGAGGCTAAGCCCAACAATACAGCAGAGGAAATATACAACATAAAATGCCAACAGTGAAATAAAAAAATACAAAGAACAATACAAATGAACACACCAAACAATACAAAATCACAGTGGGCAAAGCAAGTGAATTTATGTTGCACTAGCCGTCCCCTACCACGCGTTGCTGTGGCCCACATGGGGGTTCTTTGTGGGAGGTTTGGCCCAATTCTATCGTTGGTGGGGTTCAGAATGCTGTGTGATTGTAGGTGAACTACAAATCCCAGCAACTACAACTCCCACATGTCAAGATTCTATTTTTCCCAAACTCCACCAGTGTTCACATTTGGGCATATTGAGGATTCGTGTAGAGCAGTGTTTCTCAACCTGGGGGTCGGGACCCCTGGAGGGGTCGCCAGGAGGTGTAAGAGGGGTCGCCAAAGACCATCAGAAAACACAATATTTTCTGTTGGTCATGGGGGCTCTGTGTGGGAAGTTTTGCCCAATTCTATTGTAGGTGGGGCCCAGAATGCTCTTTGATTGTAGGTGAACTATAAATCCCAGCAACTACAACTCCCGAATGTCAAGCTCTAGTTTCTCCAAACTCCATCTGTGTTCATATTTGGGCATATTGAGTATTTGTGTCAAGTTTGGTCCAGATCCATCATTGTTTGAGTTCATAGTGCTCTCTGGATGTAAGTGAACTACAACTCCCAAACTCAAGGTCAATGCCTACCAAACCCTTTCAGTATTTTCTGTTGTTCATGGGAGTTCTGTGTGCCAAGTTTGGTTCAATTCCATTGTTGGTGGAATTCAGAATGCTCTTTGATGGTAGGTGAACTATCAATCCCAGCAACTAAAACTCTCAAATGACAAAATAGTGAAGGACATACATCAGGTTATTAGGTGTCTTGTGCCCAAATTTGGTGTCAATTCGCCCAGTGGTTTTTGAGTTCTGTTAATCCCACAAACGAACATTACATTTTTATTTATATAGATATTCAGAGCAGAACTACAACTCCAAAACCAAAGGACACTCCAAAACCAAAGGAGTGAAGAACATACATTGGGTCGTTAGACATATTGTGTTCAATTTTGGTGTCAATTTGTCCAGTGGTTTTTTGAGTTCTGTGAATCCCACAAACGAACATTACATTTTTATTTATATAGACTGCAGACTATATCACAAGGTCTGGCGCATCCTAATACGGGCTGATTAGCCATTCTATGCTACAGAGACTCGTTTCCATCACTTAAATCAACCACAACAACAAACCAACATTTTATTACGGTCCGAAGACTCCGATTTCACCGTAGGTGGACAATACTTACTGGTATTCTACCTCGGGATCTAAAAGCAGACACCTTTTTGAGATCCTCGTCTGTGGTGTTATAGGGCACGACCAGAAGCGAGGGGTACGTGTCGCACAAGGCGTGATGCTCGTTGAGAAATGTGACCCTCCACTGGTCATTAGGCAGACCCTGGAAGACAACAGAGGGGACACTCACGGGGACATCTCTCACATCTACTTAAAACAATAGGAACATCATACGCATGCTTTGACGGCCACAGGGTGGCAATAACTGACCAACTTACAAGAAGTATCTACATAAACAAGCAACTAGGGCAGTCAATATTTATTTATTTATTTATTTACTTACGATATTTATATGCTGATCTCCTCACCCAGAAAGGGACTCAGAGCGGCTTACAAGATACACACACACACAATATATATATATTATATTATTAGCAAAGTACAATATCAGTATTATATTTTACTATATTGTACTATACCATTATATTGTAATATTATTAGTAATATTGCATGTAATATAAAATATATAATTATATAATTATATTGTGCTGGTACGGCTGTACCAGGAGCTCCAATTTTATTTTCTTTCTCTTATCTGTTTTGCAGTCATAGGGCAGGCCTCCTGTCCATCATAATTAAGCTTTGGTTCCGCCCCTTGTTCTGGGCTCTGGGAGGGAAAGGAGCCATTTTTGGGGCAGTCTCTCATAAGGAAGCTAAACTATAGGACGTAGACCAGCTCGTCCCGTAGAAAAGCTTCTTTTCTCAAGAACATCCGGGGAAACAGAAATTCCAGGGAAAAGGTCCCAAGGCCCTGGCTGAGAGATTACAGCCTCTCAGCCTCACAGCAATCAGAGGGAAAACAGCCCTGAAGTTTTCAAAGATTTCTCTGAGGGAGGACAGCACTACAGATCCACGGAGCTCCATCTGAAATATCTACAAGCCTCGGCTGGTAGGTCTACTCGATACCCAGATGCATTTGGAATCGGTAGTATGACCCACACCGATGAGGCATGGATAGTAAACAGCCTGGGAGAGGTTAAATAGGGTTTTTCCTACAGAAAAAGTACAGTTAATCAAAATACATTGCATAAATAATAATATATTATATTATTATATAATACATAATATAAATATAATCTAATATATTATATACACATGTAATATTTATAATATTATAATGCAATACAATACATCTAATAATAAAGCAATATTATAATTATATATTTATTACATGTAATATTAGTAATATTACATGTAATACAAAATATATAATTATAATATTGTATTGTTATTATTAGTATTGTATTACATTATAATATTATAAATATTACATGTATATACAATATATTATATTATATTATATTATATTATATTATATTATATTATATTATATTATATTATATTATATTTTATATATATATATTGTAATATAAAATTATTAGCACCGGGAATGTGGCACAGCTGGCTGAGTGTCAGTTGCATTAAGATCACTCTGACCAAAAGGTCATGAGTTCGAAGCCAGCCCGGGTTGGAGTGGGTTTCTAACCAATTGCGTGTAGCCTGTTGTCGACCTTTGCAACCCGAAAGACAGTTGCATCTGTCAAGTAGGAAAATTAGGTACCACCTTAAAGTGTGGGGAGGCTAAATTAACTGATTTATGAGGCCATAAAGAAGACTCCAGCAAAAGCATTCCAGCGCAGAAGCATGCGGGGAATGCGGAAGTGCTTCATCAGCATCGCAGATGGACGATGAAAGCGACAGCTCTCCTGGCGGCCAGAAAAAAGTTAAATAGCCTCTGTGTATGTCTGTATATGTTTGTATGTCAAAAATTGGCATTGAATGTTTGCCATATATGTGTACACTGTAATCCGCCCTGAGTCCCCTGAGGGGTGAGGAGAAGGGCCGAATATAAAAGTTGTAAATAAATTATAAATAAATACTAATAATATTACTATAATGGTATAGTACAATATAGTAATATACAATACTGATACTGTACTATGCTAATAATTTAATATATTGTATGTATGTTGTGTATATGTATATGTGTCTGTGCGTGTATAGTAAGCCGCCCTGAGTCCCCTTCGGGGTGAGAAGGGCGGCATATAAATGTTGTAAATAATAAATAAATAAATACACTTCAAGCTTCAAGTATATATACATTTCTACTGTTCCCAAACCATTACAAGAGGAAGTTTTGGAACTGTTTAGATATGTGCTCGAGGCCCTTTTGCACGTTCCCCTCTGCTCAGGTCAATCCTACTATTAAACCAAAAATTCTTACATAATTCTGATTTTTTTAAAAAACGACAACACAAAACACCACCACTGGATCCATATTGCTGCCTATCTCCCAAATTATGCTTTTTAAGGCTCATACAGTAAGAATAAAATGTCTCCAGGGCCCTATTTCTCTATCCATTGAATTCAAGCGCACCGCAGCAAGCAAAACCGTAGAAATGACCCCAGTGTTCAACACCGCAGCATAAAAACAGCTTTGCGGGGGTGCCAAGATCAAATGAAACTCACCTGTCTTCTGTATTCCACCATAGGATTGTAAACAAGCCAACCATTTTCAGGAAATTTCTCTTCGTTGAGAAATGCAAAAAAAGGCTGCAAGGATGAAGCAGAGACATTAATGGGCAGGGGGAATCCCAACTGAAGATTGAACAAACACAGCCCACAATTTAAACAGATCGCTCCTCTATATGAAAAGTGAATGCTTCAAAATCCAGTAATTGTGCTACCCATTCAAAAGCACCCTTTCATTTTTCACCAGGAGGAGGCTCCCTCCTTCTAGTGAGAGGTGTACTCGCAGGAACACCTCAGCAAGCAAGAGTCCAAAAGTGGCAGGCTAAAACCCAGAACCTCAATCAATGGGTGATACCAGATGAAAAACTCTCTCCAGAAGAATGGGCAACTTGGAAAGCCTTGTTACAAACAGGGAGAGATGTCTTGTCAAGATGAAGATCATCCAATACTGCTGATGAGGGCTGCAGGCGGAAAGCAACCAGAGAACACCCAGCAGCATAGAATCTTAGAGTTGGAAGAGATCCCAGCAGCCTTCCAGTCCAACCCCATCCTTTCTGAAGGCACAATCCAAGCCCTCCTGGCAGATGGTCATCTAGCCTTTGCTTAAAGACTTTCCAAAGAAGGAGGCTTCAAAGCAGCCTATTCCACTGCTGGACGACTTGTTCTGCCAAGAAGTTCATCCCAATGTTTTGGTGGCATCTCTGTTCTTGTAGACTGAATTCATCTCCAGAACAGCAGGAAACAAGCCTTCCACCACCACCACCACCACCATCTCCACCTCCACTACCACTACCACCACCACCACCACCACCACCCCCTCCACCTCTACCACCCCCTCCTCCTCCACCTCTACCACCTCCTCCACCTCTACCACCTCCTCCATCTCCACCACCTCCTCCTCCTCCACCACCCTCCTCCTCCTCCACCACCACCTCCTCCTCCTCCTCCTCCACCACCACCACCCCTCCTCCTCCACCACCACCACCTCCTCCACCACCACCTCCTCCTCCCCCACCTCCACCTCCTCCTCCACCACCCCCTCCTCCACCACCACCACCACCTCCACCTCCACCACCACCACCTCCTCCTCCTCCTCCTTCTACTCCTCCACCACCACCTCCTCCTCCACCTCCACCTCCTCCTCCTCCTCGGCACATCCTTTCCAATATTTAAACCTTGCACTCACGTCCCCAAGTCAGAGCAGAACCAACCCTTTCTCCACATTTGCAATCTAAGCTAGAACGACTCTGGCAGTTCACAGTGGTTAACGTTAAACATGAATCACACTAACTGGGTTGTTGTAGGTTTTTTGGGGCTATATGGCCATGTTTTAGAGGCATTCTCTCCTGACGTTTCGCCTGCATCAGTGGCAACCTCTGAGGATGCTTTGTCAGGATTAATTTAGTTATGTATGTGTTTTAAATGTGCTTCTATGTATTGCCAAGATGGATGCTACAGTGAATTAGAAATGCTGTGCAGAATGTTTACACTCTGAGGCTGTGATTAAGCGAACTTGAAAAAAGTAAGATAAGGTTTGCTCTTGCTGGGAACAGAAGGGAGTAACCAGTCTCAGCAAGAGAAGATAAGCAGATGTGAAGAGACTTTCGTTTTGACTAGTTTCTGAATGGTAGCTCGCTGTAGTAAGACATGTCTGTTGAATGTACTTAGTAAACTTAGTTTCTTTTGTAACTCAAAGCCTGCAGGGTCCTTATTTTGCAACTCAGTGTCTGCTTGATCTAGCATTCCTTCCGCTGGGCATCGTCTATCTCTGACATGCTTGCCATAGATGCAGGTGAAACGTCAGGAGAGAATGCCTCTAAAACATGGCCATATAGCCCTAAAAAACCTACAACAACCCAGTGATTCCAGCCATGAAAGCCTACGACAAGACATAATCACACTAACGTTTGCAAAAGCAATTGCACCTGGAAGAGCTGGGAGACAGAAGCAGAGCAGACCTTCCTCAGCTTAGATCCTTGTTGCAAATCTAAAAGAGCCCTCTCTCTCCCAATTCCCAGCATTTCAATGATGCCTGCTTTGCATGAAGAACTAGCAAGCCAGGGTGAAAGTGAGGTGAACTGAACGCAAAGGAGAGTATTCCAGGAAGAACAGAGGCACTTGGCAAACCTTACTAGAAAGATCTCCTGATGCTCCTGAAAAGGGAGGTGTGAAAGGATGCCAAACGGCACTAACTGGGCATCTTTACAGCATACTAGCGATACCTGCTAGTATGCTTCCCTCCTCCTATCTCTCCATCCTTCCCTCTTTCCTTTCTTTCTTCCTTCCTTCCTTCCTTCCTTCTTTTTTCCTTCCTTTTCTCCTTCCTTCTCTACCCCTTTTCCTCCTACCTTCCCCTCCCTTTTTCTTTCATAGAATCCTAGAATCAAAGAGTTGGAAGAGACCTCCTGGGCCATCATCCAGTCCAACCCCATTCTGCCAAGAAGCAGGAATATTGCATTCAAATCACCCCTGACAGATGGCCATCCAGCCCCTGTTTAAAAGCTTCCAAAGAAGGAGCCTCCACCACACTCCGGGGCAGAGAGTTCCACTGCTGAACGGCTCTCACAGTCAGGAAGTTCTTCCTTGTGTTCAGGTGGAATCTCCTTCCTTGTAGTTTGAAGCCATTCCTCCATTGCGTCCTAGTCTCCAGGGAAGCAGAAAACAAGCTTGCTCCCTCCTCCTCCCTGTGGCTTCCTCTCACATATTTATACATGGCTCTCATCATGTCTCCTCTCAGCCTTCTCTTCTTCAGGCTAAACATGCCCAGCTCTCCTTAAGCCGCTCCTCATAGGGCTTGTTCTCCAGACCTTGATCATTTTGAGTCGCCCTCCTCTGGACACATTCCAGCTTGTCAATATCTCTCTTGAATTGTGGTGCCCAGAATTGGACACAATATTCCAGGTAAAGTGGTCTAACCAAAGCGGAATAGAGCATGGGGAGCATGACTTCCCTAGATCTAGACACTAGGCTCCTCTTGATGCAGGCCAAAATCCCATTGGCTTTTTTTGCCGCCACATCACATTCCTGGCTCATGTTCACCTTCCTCCCCACGAGGACTCCAAGATCTTTTTCACACGTACTGCTCTCGAGCCAGGCCTCATCGTCCCCCATTCTGTCTCTTTGCATTTTGTTTTTCTGCCAAAGTGGAGTCTCTTGCATTTGTCCCTGTTGAACTTCATTGTGTTAGTTTTGGCCCTTCATCTCTCTAATCTGTCAAGATCCCTTTGAATCCTGCTCCCATCCTCTGGAGTCTTGGCTCTCCCTCCCCATTTGGTCCTGTCTGCAAACTTGATGATCCTGCCTTCTCGCCCTTCATCTAAGAAGTCATGAATGAAGATCCTGATCAGGACCGGGCCCAGGATGGAACCCTGCGTATGGCCCTCCGCTCGTCCCTTCTTTCCAGGATGAAGAGGAGGAAGCCATGGGGAGAATCACCCTCTGGGTTCGTCCATTCAACCAATTCCAGATCCACCTCCCCGTAGTTCTGCCTCGCCCACATTGGACTGGTTTCCTTGCCAGAAGGTCATGGGGGACCTTGTCGAAAAAGGACTTCCTGAAATCCAGGTACGCTCCATCCACGGCATCATTCCCCGCATCTACCCAGCCTTCACTGCGTTAAAGTCATTTCGGACTTATGGTGAATCTATCAGAGCAGACTGTTGGTAAGGTTTGTTCAGAGGTTTACTCTTTCTCTGAGTGTGTGACTTAAGCGCCTGAGGGGGGAAAGGAAGGGGCCTGAGACTGTCAGGAATGGTGAGAGTTGACATCCAAAACAATTGGAGGAAGGCTGAAGTTTGCCCATGCATGCTGTAGACCCACCTCAGTTACTCATCTCTGAACACAAACTTCAATATTGTGTCCAATTCTGGGCACCACAATTCAAGAGAGATATTGACAAGCTGGAATGTGTCCAGAGGAAGGTGACTAGAATGGTCAAGGGTCTGGAGAACAAGCCCTATGAGGAGCGGCTTAAGGAGCCGGGCATGTTTAGCCTGAAGAAGAGAAGGCTGAGAGGAGATATGATGATGGCCATGTATAAATATGTGAGAGGAAGCCAGAGGGAGGAGGAGGGAGCAAGCTTGTTTTCTGCTTCCCTGGAGACTAGGACGCAAGGGAACAACGGCTTCAAACTACATCTGAACATGAGGAAGAACTTCCTGACTGTAAAAGCCGTTCAACAGTGGAACTCTCTGCCCCGGAGTGTTGTGGAGGCACCTTCTTTGGAAGCTTTTAAACAGGGGCTGGATGGCCATCTGCCAGGGGTGCTTTGAATGCAATATTCCTGCTACTTGGCAGAATGGGGTTGGACTGGATGATGGCCCAGGAGGTCTCTTCCAACTCTAGGGTTCTAGGATTCTATGATTCACCTAGAACGCTTCCTGGACGGTATGACTTTTTAGCCCTTCTGTGGCAATGAGTACCCACTTTATTTCTAAGTACGCACTCACTGCCATAGAGAGAAATAAAGGAAAGTGTTGCGCTCGTTTTCAAATTTGCTGTTTGTTTTGTCCATATTCTTTGTTTTGTTGTTGTTGGGGATCAGAATGGCAAAGTCCACAGCAAAACAAACTCACCGAGTTATGTGTCAATACCGTCATCAGGAATACAGTCCAGCAAAACAAAAACTCACCAAGTTATGTGACTGTGGGAAAGCGTATTTGGTCAGGAGCTCAAATATATCTCTTCTGCTGTGGCCTTCTTGTTTCAATGCAAAGCGTAGGTTTCTCATATCCTAAAAATTGGATGACAGAATATAAATTTTACAAAACCAAGCCAACAGATACATCCCAAGCAACCTGACAGACAAAATAAAAGCATTTCCCACATATAAACTATTGCTTTCTCATATGAAGACGCACCAAGAGATGCCTTGAAAGCCCTTGCAGAGTTACACACAGGATACACATTCAAAACAAATATTGCAATACAGTAGGTAAGGTAGGCAAAGGTTTCCCCTTGACATTAAGTCCAGTTGTGTCCAACTCTGGGACTCTGGAGCTCATCTCTAAGCTGAAGAGCCGGCGTTGTCCATGGACACCTCCAAGGTCATGTGGCCAGTATGACTGCATGGAGCGCCGTTACTTTCCCGCCAGAACGTTAACAATGGATAATGAGATTGGATCTTGATTCTACCTATGAGACGCTAATGAGATGTTATATTGATGTTTAATTGATTGTTTCTTATGCAATTGTTTTCAATTGTTTGTAACTGTTTTTATGATGTTTTGCGCATTGAATTTTGCCATTGTTAACCGCTTTGAGTCGCCCAAGGGCTGAGAAAAGCAGTATATAAATGGAGTAAATAAATACATAAATACCTATTGACCTACTCACACTTGCATGTTTTCAAACTGCTAGGTTGGCAGAAGCTGGGGCTAACAGCGGGAGCTCACCCCGCTCCCCGGATTCGAATCTGCAACCTTTCAGTCAGCAAGTTCAGCAGCTCAGCGCTTTAACCCACCGCGCCACCGGGGACTCCATAATACATTATTACTTGTCATTTAGGGCAAGTTTATTTTCCATACTTATCCGAGCATGAGCATAAAACACGTTGTAGTGAAATTGCTACTCTATGTTAAAGTTTTGGTGTATAGCTCTATGTTTACATATGGCAGATAGGGAAGAATAGGCACAGACAGGGTAGCAACAGCAGAGATAGGATTCATTTGCATATGTGAAGGCGATTGGTTATATTCAGATTGGTGTAGGCCCAGGATTTGGAGGGGCTGCTAGGCCAAAATGGCAGTTGTGGAGAACAGAGCTGAACATTCCAAAGAGGCAGAGCCAAGGTTCTGAAAGAGGCAGTTAGAGTGAGGGAGTTTGAAAATGACAATTAGGAATCTGTGTGTGAAGAGAAGAGTTGGTTTTTGAGTGCCTGATAGAAATAAGCAGTTATGAAGATGTGTTAAAGACTTCAGATATAGAGAAGCAGTTAGTTAAATAGAGCTCGAGTTTTAAGGAACATAAAGAAGGCTAGTGTTGCCTTAGTTCAGAATATAATTCGGCCAAGAGTGTGTAAAGCAAGTAACATGTTTGAGAATGTGAAACATTGATAGTTTATTCAGAAAAGTTAACCAAGTAAATGATACTGACTGTAAGTCTCAAGATTGCAACAAAACACAAATGTAACCACAAGCGTTGGAGCCAGAAGTTATAAATAAACTGTTACTTTGTTATACACAAGAGTGTCATTGCCTGCGATATAAAGTACAAAGGTTTAACAGCACACAGAAAGTCCCAGCCAATATAAAAGAAGAAACTGAATCAGTATAAGGCAGCAAAGAGGTTTTTAAAGAGGAAATAGTCTCTCTCCCTCGCCTCACATGTGTGGCGATTGGGAAAGACTGTTGATCTATTGTTACCTTGCAAGTAATATCCAATCCGTATGAATTCTCTCCTCTGCTCGATGCGCCTCCCATTTTCTCAATCCTTGAAATAGCACCCAAAGGAACATCTAATATCACCACAGGATCCTGATCGGGGGGGAAAGGAGCAAACGGATTATTCCGCACGCATAAACACACTGCAAGTTTGGGCATTATCTTGTATTATTTTGATGTTGACACGCTGTTGACAGTATTTCCAGCCTCCCCCCCCCCCCATTTGACTGTTGCACTTTCCTTGCACTCCTTTCAGAATGTATTGCACTCAATGAGCTATGTTCTTTTTTCCAGCCATATTGTTTTGATGTTGTTTATAATTGTGAGTGTTTGTATTTTATTTGACGTTTTTTAATCTTTTGTGTTTTAATTGTAATTTTGGGCTTGTCCAACCATGGGGAGATGGTTGGCGCGGTATAAAAAAGTTGTTGTTGTTGTTGTTGTTGTTGTTGTTGTTGTTGTTGTTGTTATTATTATTATTATTATTATTATTATATGTTTGCATTCATTTGTGGCATTGAATGTTTGCCTTTTGTTTTGTGTCTGTAAACTGCCCGGAGTCCCTTTGGGGAGAGAGAGCGGTTGAGAAATAAAGTTTAGTTATGTTACTAGCTGTACTCGCCACACGTTGTGGCCAACCTTCCTTCCCTCTTTCCTTCCTCTTCCCTTCCTCCCCACTTTTCTTTCCCTCCCTTTCTCTCCTTCCTTCCCTTTCTTCTTTTCTTCTCTCCTTCCTTCCTTCTCTTCCTCTTCCCTTCCTCCCCACTTTTCTTTCCCTCCCTTTCTCTTCTTCCTTCCCTTTCTTCTTCCTTCTCTCCTTCCTTCCTTCCCTTCCTCTTCTCTTCCTCCCCACTTTTCTTTCCCTCTCTCTTCTTCCTTCCCTTTCTTCTTTCCTTCTCTCCTTCCTTCTCTTCCTCCCCCTTTTCTTTCCTCTCTTCTTCCTTCCCTTTCTTTCTTTCTTTCTTTCTCTCCTTCCTTCCTTCCTTCCCTTCCTCTTCCCTCCTTTTTTCTTCTTCCTTCCCTTCTTTTCCTCTTCCCTTCCTCCCCACTTTTCTTTCCCCCCTTTCTCTCCTTCCTTTCCTTTCTTCTTTCCTTCCTTCCCTTCCTCTTCCCTTCCTCCCCGCTTTTCTTTCCCTCCCTTTCTCTTCTTCCTTCCCTTTCTTTCCTTCTCTCCTTCCTTCTCTTCAATCAATAGATAGGAAACATATTGTCCTGCAGCTGTCCACATGTTGCACTAATCTTGCATTACAGCCCAGTTATGAGGATGCAAATTGAGGGTTAATTGCGACATGCCCCTTGTGGCTGAAATTATTCATTATTTCTTCTTTTCTTCTCTCCTTCCTTCCTTCTCTTCCTCTTCCCTTCCTCCCCACTTTTCTTTCCCTCCCTTTCTCTTCTTCCTTCCCTTTCTTCTTCCTTCTCTCCTTCCTTCCTTCCCTTCCTCTTCTCTTCCTCCCCACTTTTCTTTCCCTCTCTTCTTCCTTCCCTTTCTTCTTTCCTTCTCTCCTTCCTTCCTTCTCTTCCTCTTCTCTTCATCCCCACTTTTCTTTCCCTCTCTCTTCTTCCTTTCCTTTCTTCTTTCCTTCTCTCCTTCCTTCCTTCTCTTCCTCTTCCCTTCCTCCCCGCTTTTCTTTCGCTCCCTTTCTCTTCTTCCTTCCCTTTCTTCTTCTCTCCTTCCTTCTCTTCCTCTTCTTTTCCTCCCCACTTTTCTTTCCCTCTCTCTTCTTCCTTCCCTTTCTTCTTTCCTTCTCTTCCTCTTCTCTTCCTCCCCACTTTTCTTTTCCTCCCTTTCTCTCCTTCTTTCCCTTTCTACTTTCCTTCTCTCCTTCCTTCCTTCTCTTCCTCTCCTCCCCACTTTTCTTTCCCTCCCTTTCTCTCCTTCCTTCCCTTTCTTCTTTCCTTCCTTCTTTTCCTCTTCCCTTCCTTCCCCCTTTTCTTTTCCTTCCCTTTTCTCCCCCTTCTTCCTACGTCCACAGAAAATACGTCCACAGAAAGCTTTGAAGGTGTTTGAATAGAACGCCGAAGCCAAATGGGCCAAACGGGGTAACCTAATTACAGGTCTGAGACAAGAGCAATGATTGCAAATGGAGCGCAGCCACTTTCGGCGGAGGAGTCACCATGATAAATTGCTCCACACCTTAGGGTACGACTAGAGAGTATTTACCGATTCCACGCTTCTCAGGTAGAGCCTGTAGTTTGTGATGTAGACTCTTCCTTTGACAGGACCGTTGAAGGGACACATGTAGATGACCTCTTTGTCTGAGGAAGGAACAACAGTTGGACAATAAACACATGGCAATCCATCCAAGATTTCCTCCTCCTCCTCCTCCTCCTCCTCCTCCTCCATCCCTACACAGGTAAGGAGATGTCAAGTTGGCTGTTCTTGTTGGAAATGGCAACCTTCCATGCCTTTACTAACTGTTTGTAAATATGTATAGTTGTTAACCTACCGTATATTCCGGCATATAAGACGACTGGGCGTATAAGACGACCCCCAACTTTTCCAGTTAAAATATAGAGTTAAGACAACTCCCATGCATAAGACTACACCCGCGTATAAGACGACCCCTGACTTTTGAGAAGATTTTCTTGGGTTAAAAAGTAGTCTTATAGGCCAGAATATACTGTATATTGTATTTATTTATTGTATTTATTACATGCATTTCTACCCCAACATTATATTTTTATTTATATACTAGCCATCCCCTGCCACGCATTGTTGTGGCCCTGCCTGTGTATATGAGTTTTCTGTGTGTATGTATGTGTTTTGCGCATGTGTTATAATGTTATTTTTATTTTATTTTTGCTTTTAAAGTCTCTTTTGCTGTGTTTTTCAGTGTTTTTATGAGTGATAGTCACTTGTTGGCCTGATAGGTGCCTTGTGTCCAAATTTGGTGTCAATTCGTTCAGTGGTTTTCGAGTTATGCGAATCCCACAAACGAACATTACATTTTTATTTATTTACTAGCTGTACCCGCCACGCGTTGCTGCGGCCAACCTTCCCTCTCTCTTTATCTCCTTCCTTTCCTCTTTTTCTTTCCCTTCCTATTTATTTTCTTCTTTCTTCCATCTCTACTTGTTTCTTTCCTCCCTTCCTTTGCTCTTTGGTTACATCCTTCCCTCTGTATTTTTCCTTTCACTTTTTTATTTCCTTCTCTCCTTTCTTGCTTCTCTACCTTTCTTTCTTTCCTTCCTTCTTTCCCTCCCTCCTTCTCTCCTTCCCATTCCCCGCCTTCATTCCTTCCCCCCTTTCCCGCCTCCATTCCTTTCCTTCCAACTCTATTCTGTAAGTCTATTTAATTTGTATTATGTAGTAATATATAATAGTAACATATATATAGTAATCTATATAACAATATATAAAATATTGTATTTATATCTTACATAGAAAGAAAGGAAGATGGAAGGAAAAAGTAAGGAAGGAAGGAAGAAAGAAGGAGGGAAAGGAAGGAGGGGGATGAAGAAAGGAGGGAGGGAAGGAAATGAAGAAAGGGAAAGAAGGAGGAAAGGAAAGGAGGGAGGGAGGAAAGGAAGAAGGGACAGGAAGGAAGGGAAGAAGGGAAAGAAGGAAAGGAAGGGAAGGAAAGAGGGAGGGACAGGAAGGAAGGAGGGGGGAAGGAAAGGAAGGGGAAGGAAGGAAGGAAGGAAACAAAGGGAGGGAGGAAAGAAAGAAGGGAAGGGAGGGAGAGAAGGAGTGGAGTATGGCCTCTCGGAGGAAGAGGAGGCAACGAAAGGGAGGGGGAAAGCTGCTTCTGCTGGCGAGGGAGGAACTTGAGGAGCCCATCCACCATCCTCCTCCTCTTTTTCCTCACTCCCATGGTGCCCACTCTCGCTTGTGTGTGTGTGCATGTGTGTGGCCGTGGCCGCGCGCCTGGCTTCTAAGGCTTTAACGGCGTGAGGAGGAGGAGGGGGCGTGGCCATGGGTCTTTTTGTGGACATGCAGTTTAGAAGTCCTTTCTGCTTTATGTTTTCGTTGTTTTTTTGAGTGGAGAACATACATTGGATTGTTAGGTGTATCATGTCCAAATTTGGTGTCAATTGCCCCAGGGGTTTCTGAGTTCTGTGAATCCCACAAACGGACATTACATTTTTATTTATATAGATTTACTATATAATAAATAAATAATTGTGTCAATAATTTTGCGTTTTCCAACATTTATTTATTTATATTTTATTGTATGATAAATAAATAAATGTGTCAATAATTTTGCACAAAAGATCCTGGTGTTTTCCAACATTTAGCTATTGTTATAGCTTGTGTAAACTTGCTCCGGGAGCAGAATGCACTTTGTTATTTACCTGTGACTCGTGTTTCCCCCGGTAGACGAGGTATTTCTTCATTGTGTTCCCAGTTCGGTCCATCTTTCAAAGGCTAGCGAGGAAAGAACAAAATTTAAAAGGAAGGCTCATATAAAACATGTAAAACTTCATACATGTTAACCTCATCATCCAGTTAGATCAAGAACAAGGTGGAAATGACACAACATCGTGGTGCAATTGCACTGATCAGTGTCACAATTAGCAGCACCCTATTCCATTTAATCCCACTATAATAACTCTCTAATGCAGCGTTCATAACGGAGGCTTGGATATCCCATCAATATTGTTAAGGCAGTGGTTTTTGATCCAATTGTGCTAAACGTCATGTCTCATGTTCTGTAGCTGATGGTGGTTGGTGATTGTAGACCTAGCAGTTGGTGATGGAAGGGTTAATGTAAGTCTTGGTTCTAAAGGGCTAAGTAACTGGTAAGTAAGAGTTCATGGGTGAAAGCAAGTAAGGGTGGAGGTGTGCAAGAGAGAGGTTGCACCTGGGTGTTTCTGGATATAAGGAGCGAACCTTGAGAAAAGTATTTGTCTTATTTTGGTGGTAGATGCTGCTGGTGTTGCAACCCAGAGCAGGAAACTGGACCCTAAGACAACAATCCACCACACTTGACTTCAGGAAAAAACAATCCTTTTTTATTGATGAAAGATGAGTACAAAAATAGAGGAAAATATGCAAGGTAAAAAGTCACAGTAGAACTCAGCAACAAGAAATGTCCATGAACAAGATCAAAAACCCACAGTAACACTGCTAAATCCTGGAACCTGTCAGCAATCCACTAACTGTACTTGAAGAACTAGAAAAACTCCTTGGAACAAAGCCACTGGAAGCAGGAGAACTGCAAGAGTCTGCACATGAATCTGAAACGATGCCTGGACTGAATGGGCATCCAGGCCAAGCATTTTTAAAGCAAAGAAATCTATTTCGTGACGTGCCTGAAGGCCGTGTTTGCATTTCTCTTAATCTAGCTGACCTCCGTAAACTCTGCGCTTCGCCTCTGCTTTGCCAAATCTGCCCCCGTCTATCCTCGTTAGAGGGACCAGGTGTCAGATTATCTGATGAGCTAAAAGGGAGTGAAAGTTCACGGCTTGGCTCTGAATCATTCTCATAGGAATTTGGACTTTCGCTTTCCAAAGCAGCAGGATTTTCACTACACAAACCGTCATCTTCTACATTGACCTCAGAATCATTGACATCTTCATCAACATCAGGAAATACAATCAGAGAGTCAGGTACAGGTTCACACACAGGTTGAACCCCAACAGCTGGTTTTCCCACAGGTTTGTGGATTTTTGGTATCCAATAATAATAATAATAATAATAATAATTAATTTATACCCTGCCACCATCTCCCCAAGGGACTCAGAGCAGCTTACATGAGGCCAAGTTCGACAACACATCAATAAAAGAGAAAAGCAATAAGCAAAAAACAATACAATTAATATAAATCACATATAAACAATAACACACAAGGATTTAAAAACCTATGGCCGGGCCAAATGTAATAGTTTACAATTTAAAAAATAAACATTGGGTACGAACAGAGGTAGGATGTATCTGGAAGGAGGGTTTAAAAACAAGAAGGGGGAGCAATCCAACGATAGTTTTGCAGGGAATTATTTCCTTATTCAGGGAAGGCACACTGGAACAGCCACGTTTTCAGGCTCCTCCTAAAGACTGCCAATGTGGGGGCTTGCCTGATATCCTTGGGAAGTGAGTTCCAGAGTCGAGGGGCCACCACAGAGAAGGCCCTCTCCTTCGTCCCCACCAATTGCACCTGCGAAGGGGCAGGAGCGAGAGCAGGGCCTCTCCAGATGATTGAAGAGATTGTGTGGGTTCGTAAACAGAAATGCAGTCACGCAGGTAGGCAGGTCCCAAACCGTTCAGGGCTTTCTAGGTAAACACCTGCACCTTGAATTGGGACTGGAAAATGAACGGCAGGCAATGGAGCTACTTAAACAGGAGGGTTGACCGCTCCCTGTAAGTCACTCCAGTGAGTAACCTGGCTGCCGCCTGTTGTACCAATTGAAATTTCCGAGCCATCTTCAAGGGCAGTCCCATGTAGAGTGCATTACAGTAATCCAATCTGGAGGTGACTAAGGCATGGACCACCCTGGCCAGATCCAACTTCACGGCCTGTCTCCTGTACTCTTGGAACCCTGTGTTATGGCTGAGCTATTTTCTGACGATGAGGATGATGGGATTCAGATTCCTGTTGGGTTTCACCTTCCTGGCTCTTTGTCTGTGCCTCAAATCTCTGAGCCTGCTTCTGAGGCTCTCACAGACAGTGCAGTGTCAACACAGCTGATTTCACCAGAAAGGAATTTTAACGAAGGAGATAGCGAGCAAGTGCCTTCCCACGATGATACGGCAAGTGTAGATAGTGGCTTGACCCGAGAAGCTCGCCTTGATCTCCGGGTCAGGCAGAATTCGTGTCTGGCAAACAAACGGGAGGCTAGCTCGGTGAAAGGTCGTCGCAATGCTTTTATGATGCTGAGAGCCTAATGTTTTGATGTTAGAAAGGTATTTAGGCCTCCTGGAAACTGTGAAAGTGTCAGTTCAACGTAGCTTACTAACCTGCAAGCTTCATGGAATAATCTTAGCCTGGAAAGCAGTACGCTTGGGATTTCTTGCATGGTGATTCATGGGGCAA